TGCCTGATTGGGGTGGTCGAAGGAACCCTTTGTCCAGGGGTGGACACACACACATATTATGTATATATATATATATATATATCGGTTGTCACAGGTTTTTCACCCCCAAAGTACCACCAGCTTTTACGCCCGAATCCGCCGGGGCATCCTCCGGGCGTCCGTGCAATCCAATCCGAAGTTGAAGTGGAAGACGCCGTGGACCATCCAACCAAAACCACCGGGGCTTCTCTTGGGAATCCACCTCCCGAGGGTTTCGGTGATGGAGCGCACCACGTGGGCATCCCTGCCCTCGCTTCGGTCGCAGGCTCAGGCGGAGCTGCTGCAGCGTGAGAAGGAGGCGGCAGAGAAGAAGGCGGAGAAGGAACGGAAGGCCTGCGGGGTGGATGCAAACGTCGAGATGCTGGGAGCAGTGCTGGTTTTTTCGGGTGCGGCAGGGGGGTCGGTAGTTGCAGGTTCTGTTTCGGTGGCGGGGTTTGGTGGCCATCCTCCACATGCGTTAGCATATCCTGTGAGGATGCGAAGGGGGGAGCGGATGAAGGAAGGAACAAACGTCAACTTCGGTAGGGGGGACATGCGGGACACACTGCGGGACACATCAGTTTGCGAAGAGGGGCATATATTATCCATACATATCCATACATATCCCATTCCCTGTGCTCCAGCACGAAGTCCATGGCACACGAAGTCCTTGTTCAGGCTAAGCAGCAGCAAGAGGTCAAGCAGAAGAAGCTGCAGATCGTGTTCCGATCGCCTGACGGCTGCTTGGACAAGAGGGCAGACCTGAAATAACTTGGAAATTGGAATGGTCCCCCCCACTAGTGACTGGTGTCCCAAAAGAAGAAGGCTTCACCTCCTCTCCCTCCTCTCCCTCCCTCCCTCTTTCAAGGACCCCTATCCCCCAAATCTTTGGAGCTAAAGTGGGTCGAAAAAGAGTGTCTTCAAGGGGCCTTGGCTAAACCTGATGGGCTGTGCCTGGGGCATGTTCCACCAAGCTTCAGCAAGACTGTGGACATCCCTGTGACCATTTAACTGATTTTATTTGATTTTTTCTGTATCAATGCTCCCCTTGCCGTCCATGAGTAATTCCAACAATTCCATTAGCATTGCCGTTGGAACCCTCCCCACCAAAACAGACCAGCCTAGCGGCCTAGCGCAGTGAACAAACCATGCTCCAGCCAATTGCGACCACCAGTCACGTTCTCGGTGCACGCTTTGGGTCGGTGCACGGTGCACCGCACCCGCCGCTTTGGGTCGGTGCAGCTTCGTCGAACAACCCGGATCCGACCCAACGGACGCTTTGGACTTCCGTTCCTTCGCTTGGACTCGACGCGACTTCAACGGGCCGCTGTCAAGCGAAGCGGCCACCGGCCGCCGTTGGTGACGCCGGGGCGACGTCGCAGGAAAGGAACGAAAGACCGTGACCTTCACAAAGAGGCTGGGACGATGGGGAAGTGACCCAGACCCAGACACCACTGGACTGCGGACTGTCGAGTTTCGCCAGGGGTGGTGCCAGAGGGCTCGGGGCGGCATATATATTCCAGTCCCATGGAATGTTTGGGTGAAGTGATCCATCCTCCGCATCCTCCTAGGTCCAGGAATGCGTGTTCCTCGGGGGGTGTTTGGGGGATCCTGTGGACATAGGGGATTTCAGGATGCCTTTTGTTTTTTTTTGACCATCACCAGTTTAGTAGACGTCCTGGTATCTTCAGGAGTCGCTACTATGTAAACCAAGGGTCTCTGGACATGTTATCGTTGTTTGTGCTTAGGAAGCTGGATGCTCCCTATAGCCAATGTCAGCATATGTCACCATGTCGGCAGATGTCAGCCATGAGGGCAAACGTTTCGCAATTCGCGGAGAGCTTTGCAAGGAACCACGCTCCCTCCATTAACGAGAGTCCAGAGAATGTTAAATCTCTCAGCGATTTTTAGAGTAGACATAGGACACCATGTCCTACTCAGTCCACAGTGCCACAGCCCTCAATGGCTGATGAAGTTCCACCAGAGGAGTCTTGGAGATTTCAGTCTATTCTATCCCCATAGGGTCCAAATAACTCCTGAGGATAAATTTTGGAGGTGACTGACTTCGTTACTTCCGATTCGGATGGTCGAACTGGGGCCTTGCAGCGGACGTCCGGTTCGGATGGTGGATCCATCCCAACACCTTTAGGGGGCGGACTGGAAAAGGTCCCCGGACATCGCCCACATCTTTCAGATTGCTCCACCCATCCCGTCCGAAATGGCTGAACCAACTGAGAGGAGGCGGAAGACACATGGCCGCGATAGGTGAGCTACGCGACATCAGAAGTCTATGTTGGATGTAGAAGCAATATACATATATATATATATATATGGTGCATATATGGGTCACATCACATCATAACATATCCCTACAAGTCCAGTCTGACCCAGTAAAACCAGGTCGTTTGCTTGCTGCTTGCTGTTACTAGTGCCTTACAGGTATGACCAACTCCAGAGCTTTCATAGAAAGTCATTGACCTGTAGGGTCTCCTTAAAACCCTTTTTCCACTCAGCCGTGTGCTTCCACCGTGCCGGCTCGCCTGCTCGCCCTGTGGACCGGTCGAGGCCGCTGGGGGTCTCCTGCAACATGGAGCAGATGCCCATCGTGGTGGGTGAACGACCCCAAGGGGTCGCCTACGACGCGGGCGTGCGCGAGGGATGGGTGCTGTGCCAAGTGGGTACGGACCCCTCGAACATGCGGAGACCCGGCCAACCGGAGCGGCAGCGGAGCGGCAGCGGGGGCGGTGTTCGAAAACAGCAGTGGTTCTGGGGCGCCGGATTGTTGGGCGGGTGGTTTTTGGACACGAGAGGTGGAAGTTTGTTTGGGGTGGGCGGGCACCCAGGAAGTGTGGCTTCTTGTGGAGGTGGACGTTTGGAAGTTTGGGCAAATCGTATCGCATTTTCTCAGTGATTCTTTTGGGCTTGATGATGTGTGATGATGTTGGATCGTTGAGCGGCATGACTTACTTCTCGGGGGGGTGGGGGGTTCCACCCAAAAAACCGGGTGAACTTTCAACGTATCGAGGTCGCCTTCCCCTCTTTACGGGGCATACCCAACGCACATGTTCCATGATATATCGATATATGATACCCAAACACTCCATGTATGGCGTATTTACCTATACATTTGGGGTGGTTTTTTCAAGAGGTCAATGTAAATCTGCCAGTCTGTTGGGTGTTTGGGATATCTCCAGTATACACCTCGTTCCGGTGATTCCGATGCTTTTGGGACCCGAGCTGCGGAGCGAGCTGAGCGGGCACCCCAATGGCAGTGGGTGACGGTGACGGTTTTAGGAAGACGGGTTTCCTAGAAATCGCCCCGGAAGCAAAGCAATTGTATGAATACCAGCACCCGACTCTACAGGTCTCCGAAATGGAAACGTTTTCTGGAGACGTTGGTGATGACGGTGCTGGAGGGTGCTGGTAATTACCCCCACCCTCCCCTACAGACCAGCCAAACATGGAGCCTGAGACTTCACCCATTGGTTTCGACCCTGTTCCTTGACAAAGCCGAGCGTGGTTTTGGGGGGTTTCACGTGTCGATGGTCCACAGCTTGATGCCGAACCATCCAAGGAACTTCCCCCAGTCAGCGGACGAGCCCTACGCCCAAGTGCAGGTGCCGCAACGCGGGTCCAAAGGGTCCATAAGATTCAGACTGGAAGACCCAGACCAAAGGGTTTCCACATGGACCAGACTGGAAGATCCGAAGACCAAACCGACTGGACTGGGTTCAAACTTTTTGGTTCCAGGATGGACCGAATGTCCAGTGCCTATACTCAGGGACGCAGAACCTCTCGCATTCGGTGGAGAGGCTTCGGCATCAGCACCAAATGGTGGGACCACTCCTTTGTAGAATGGCGGTGGCTTCTTCAATCCGCATAGTTTGAGAAGTGTAACCCATCTTAACATTAACATGCTGCATGTATCCTTTAAGCCATTTGCAAACATTATCAAACACATATTATATAATGTTTGGATAATATGCTTCTTCACATCTGTTAACCTTTTCACCACTGAGCAGCTGGGAGCACATGGTGCTAGATGGTGTCAATCCTGCTCGGTAGTGGTAGCTCGCCATGTCTCTACTCGAATTGCTTGCGGAAATGGCTGGGTGATGACGGTAGCGAAGGCAGCAAAAGCATGAAGATGCCCAAAGTGTCAACCTGTTATCCTGTATTTCTGAGTGTTTTTCACACAGTTTTCACCACCTGTGCATCTCCAGGATCATCCGCCACAGAGACGAAGTCTCCACGTCCGATGCTAGGAGACTTTCAAATTCCTGGGGGCACTCAGCAAGGAGCTCCCTCAGGCCCTGGCGGACCGACGGACCGACACCGTGCGACACCCGTCCGTACCGTACCGGCCTGGGGACTGGTGCGGTCGTGTGCACCACTGCACCACTGGGGCGCTGCTGGTGGTAAGGGTAAAGTGATGGAAATACCGACCCCCCCAGAAGAGATAGAAGAGTAGATCCCCACACACCGCACAATAAACCGATCACTCTTTTTTTGGGGACTTACCCCATAGAAGTCAGTTTGACCTCATGAAATACTGGAGATGGTGATACAAAACCAATACTTAAGGAGGTCAAAGACCAGGTTTGGACCTGGGTCAGACTGGACTTGTAGGGTACTGTCATCTTTCTTTCGATACAGTGCCAGCCGTTGTGGACGGCATACCGTTCTCCCATCTCCTCCGAGCCGAGCCTCCGAGCCCCCGAGCCGCCTCAGCTGCCGCCGCTGGGCGCTCGGTCCGTGCCGCTCAGCGAACCTGGTTTGGCTGATCGCATTGATTATTTATTTTCCCTATAGGTTAAATCCCCTGATATCCCCTGCATACCTGAATCTTTCCTTTTTTTCCTCCAGGTTGGACAGCAAATCCCAGTGGAATGTGGATGGTGATCACGGCTGTTCATCACCCCAAAAAACCGTCGCGTCGTGAAACAGATCTCCATTCCCCATCCCGTCGAGATCCGCAGCAACGGGCGCGCCGGTCGCAACGGTCCGCGGTCGCGAGGTGCTATAGTTTTTGCCGTGAACGGCTCCTCCAGCACCTTCCGAACGGTTGGAAGTACAGGCGTGGGCGGGTGGAAACGGTCGGGTTGGAACAAGTCGATGAAACCAGGAGCAGCTGTCGAGACTGGCGGGTTTCACCTCACATGTCAGGCGGTCGGGGATTTGAATCGAAGGTTGGAATGTTGAGTCACATGACAGGTGGAGGCTTGTCGAGCATGCAGCTCATGAAGATTTTTAGGGAGAGAACCTTTGAAGCCTTGACACCTCCCAGGTATACCGAGCTGGAAGAGAGAGAGAGAGAGAGAGAGAGATACTTGGACCATGGAAATCCTCCAAGTTCTGAAGCCTCCCACACCTCCCAGGTCCAGTAGCTTTGGAGGTGCTTTTGCTCATCGCCTCGGCTTTTGGCTTCACTGGACTTCCTCTGAAAACGACATGCGCCCGAGCGGGGTCGAGCGTCGTCCAAGCCCTGAATGCCCTTATATAACTTATATAGGGCATTTACTGTAGATGCTATTTCATGTCATTTCTGCATCTATCCCTACAAGTCCAGTCTGGCCCAGTAAAACCAGGTCGTTTGCTTGCTTGAATAGTGCTTTTGTATGACCAACTCCAGTAAAATGAGGTCATTGACCTGTAGGGTATTGTATATCCAGGGTCCGTTCAGCTGGGTCTGCTCAGGGTCCAGTTCCGTTTTGTTCGTCGTTTTTGGGCTGCTAGGGGGGGGGACCAGCTGGCTGCGGTGCAGTGAGTCCGGCTGAGCTAGGGATTTCTGGGGTTCCTTTCAGAAGGCGTTGCTTTTCTTTTTTGGTTGGGATTGCAGTAGGGCCCTACTGAGGGCTTCCACCATGGGCATGTGCAGAAGAGCTTTGAAAAGGGTCAAAGCATTAATGTCAGGCTTGGATATGCTTGGATCTATAGAGTCTACTATACACGACAACCTGAGGAAGTCCGGGACTGTTTGTCAAGCTTTGAATCACGTGGCGTGGTGGATTGACCTAGCCTCTGGTCTTGTAGTGTAAAATCCTTATAAAACAATGATTGTTCGGGATTCAGGCTATTGGATCAATAGTGGTTGGAAGTTTTTAGAGTTTCAACAGCCTTTGGACCCACACCCACGCTGCAAATAATTAGAGCTCAGCAAATGCTCATGCTCTGGTTTCACTCGAGCGACGTCAAGACCGTGCTCCCCAACCAGAGTGATTGTATGCATCTCAACTCACCACCAGAGTACACCGTCCACCGTCCCCCCCTAGTCATCCCTTCTCACCTGACTTCTTCGAGGTAGAGAGCGCTGGGGTTGGATGAGCTTGACACCATGTTTGCTACAGAGAACTCCACTCCAAAAAATGCATGCCTTTGGGGTCGGATCACCCATTCTTGCGAAAGGGGGTTTCCTGCCAGATCTTAAAAAGGTGATCCAACGAATTTGGTTTGACTCCTCCCAACTCTTCCGCGGCCTTTCCGTGGGGTGATATTTTGGATCTGTCCTATTACCTGTCACAGTCAGTAAACAATAACAAATTGAAAAGCCTTTACCAACCATCATCATCGATCATCATCCACGGGGCCCAGGATAGACTCGGATAGACCGTCTACCTATCTGGGTGAACCTCCTTCCGCGGAAGAATTGCGTTTTCTCTGGGTTCCTGGACAGCAAATCCGCTCACTCCACTGCCTTTCCTTGGGGATCATTGCCTTTCATCGCTCGGATCGGGCGGCCAGAACCTGAAGGACTGGGTATCTGATGTTCTCTATGAGCTGGCACTTGGCCGTTCTTTACATTCTTGACTCCTTAGATGGTCCAAATATTGGGATGCCATTTTTTTCCGGTTTTTTTTTGGCGATCCCATCTTGAAGTTCATAGATTCCTGCAGGATTGCTTTACAGTGAGCATGCCGGTTTGTTCCATTCTTTGCACGATGCAGTAGTTGTGTATGAAGTGATCTGGCAGGGAGTGAACCCGGAACAACATGCCTTCGCACGATGTTGTTTTATCCCTTGGGCTATCTTGAGCTCTTCACTCCAAAATACGACCCCCCCCCCGTTGAAACTGTCTCTTGGAGGATCTTAGGAACAAGTCCATCCAACTTCACTCTGAATCATTCCTCGAAAAGTGGACACCCACCTGTCTCTACGGCCAAAAGGGTCTTCCTTCCAGCGGGGCCTAGCTTTCCACGGTACATCACATCACCATGATAAATATCATGATATCAGTCATGATATCATATCCCGCCTTCCAAGAGGGGTCTATCAATAGCCTCTTAGACGTTCCCAAAAGCCACCGAAGACGAACGGAAGGTGGTCGATGAGTTCAAGGAGTGTCATCACTACCGAGAACCTCGCAGACCCTGTAACTCTTACAGGTGTCGATCCCTCAAAAGACGGGCCGTTCTCCACCGAAGGCGAACGGACACGTGTGATAGTTTTCAGTCTTCAGTCGTCCAGCTCTGATCCAGGTCCAAAACCAGGTCGGCTTGCTTGCTGTTACCAGTGCTGTTGTATGACCAACTCCAGAGCTTTCATGAAGTTTTTGACCTGTAGGGATTCAGTCTTCAGGATCGGGCCTAGCTCGCACATCACCATCACGCGCACTGTCCCGGGCGCGCCACATCGCTCGCGCCACATCATGGGAACGGTGCCGGAACAAAGCGGGGTACGGCATGGCTGGGCGCTGGGCATGGGAGAACTGGCGACAGGGCCCTTTCTTATTGATGAAGGGTGGGTTTTAGATACAAGCTCTTTCTAAATCATGCGACACCTATCCGGATGTTGCCTGACTTTCGCCTACACTCCATGCATATGCGTGTTGGGAGGGTTACGAGCGGCATATTTTGTGTGAAGTTTTGAATGCGGAGTTCGTGACCGCAGTGATGGATTGGCCAGGACATGTTTCAATTCGGGGAAGCTCAGGACTTTTGCAGGTTCAGATGTCCCTACACGTCCCAAGACCCAGTAAAACGTTGTCTTTTGCCTCCTTAAGTATTGGTTTTGTATGACCATCTCCAGCAAAATGAGGTCTTTGACTTGTAGGGTGTGGTTCTGATACACCGACACCAATGACCAATTGGAACACCAAAGACCACTCACGCTTCGTGCCGCTTCGCGGTGTCGACCGGAAACCCTATTGTGACTCTGCAGCACTGTGGCAGAACACAGAGTTCCAGGTCAACTCCTTCCCCACGAAGGTGAATGTTTGGGAGTCCCACTTTTGGCACTTTTCTGTTGACTTGGGGAAGCTGGAGGATTCCCTGGAGCCTTAGAAGCATGGTGGCTTCCCCTCACCTAAAATTTCCAGATTCAGGTTCACACATCGATTTCTGACAGCATGCCTCCCTCTCCCTCCCCCCCTCTCTCTCTCTGACTTCTGACTCCCTGGCGGTGACTTTTCTCTCTCCCTCTCTCACTCTCAAGTTCGTCTTTGTCAAGGTGCGTATGCTTTTTTTTGTCTCTGATAACACGTGGATTGACCCAATTTCGTACGCTCCCATTTCGATGAGACGGCGCTCGCCGCTTCAGACCACAAAGATGCCGCGCTCGCCGGTTCAGACCACAAAGATGCCGCCGCACGACTCGCAGACCCTGTAAGGCTCAAAAGTTGCGTGCAGGTGTGGTGGGCAAAGACCCAATGATCAGGACCACCTATGGCCCGGTGGGCCTCCGACAACCGCGAGACCCGGAGGCCGGGTTTGGCTTTAGTTGAAGCCGGGTGTGACAGTTGGTTGAATGGATGAATGGATGGTAGAAGGATAAGTCATAGAAGCCATTGGAGTTCTCAGTTAGAGCGGGTTTCCAGTTGGTTCGCTCCCCGAAAAAGAGATAGTTTGGAGGAGCCCTCCCCATCAGGCACATCTTGGGAGATGTCATGAGATGTCGCACTTCTCCTTGGTCCCAGTGACAGGGGCTTTCCGACGGCCCCGTCCTCTGCGCCACAGAGGGAGAGGCTCTTTGCCACAGGTGATCAAGCCCGCCGTGGGTGAAAAGAAAGATTGGAAGATCGAGAAGAAATGGCTGACCTCCAAAACCAGGCAGCTGAAGTCCGCGCCGCGCACGCGTACGGCGCGTCTGTTTTCCAGGGCTTTCACGATCTATACGGCCGGCGGCGATGGCCGGCCGTATAGGCAGTCGAGGGATGTCGAGGGTTTCTTCTTTTGGATGTTCGAAGAGGTATGAAGAGTGGTGATGTTGGGCCCTCCAAGCATGCTTGAAACCCATGTGCACGATTGTGCACGGCATTCCTTTCTTCTCGCGCAAACTAACGCGTTTTTACGCGCGGGACGGTGTGCGGAACGGCCAGGAAGCACGACGTCAAGGGTGACACATATCGAAGCTTGGATGAAGATTGGGGGGCGAACCGGGAGAAGGCCAATTCATGCCAATTCGGACGAAGAGGGGGGCCCCTTATCTGACATAAGAGACATAAACATCGCATGGATGTCTGAGACATGACGGGCTGGTACTTTGTAAGGACTTCATCCACATATATCCACATGACTTCTCCTGGACTCCTGGACGCTTTCTTCACGCACCCATCAACGTACACCCATTCACAATCATCGACATGCATCAGAACCACCACAGAAACACCCCTTGAGCACCAAACCCCGCGCACGAAGCCCGCATGAGCCCAGAAGGACCCAGATGAAGGACCCGTGTATAGCTGGCCCTTGGCTCGAGCTCAGCAACCACGGAAACAACGACTACACTCCCTGAAATACTCATGGAAGCGGATGGCATGACATTCGCAGCATCTCAGAACATGGTCATCCGAACTCAGGGGGTCTCCAATATGGACAACCCTGCGCTACTTACAGGTCGCCATTGGGCACCCATTGGGCTGGTTTAGGCATAAACCTCTTTACTTTCCAATACCAAGACGTGGCCACTCATCATCTTCCGTTCCGGTCGTCCCTTTGGCGCCTGGCCTGGCGCCACTCATCTGGTGCCCATCAGCGGTCTGCCCATCAGGCACCGTGGTGAAGCAGACCATGCTCTTGGCCGCCGCCAAGATGGAGGCCGGAGAGAATCGAACACATTAGGCCGACGATAGGCCATCAAAAGAAGGCGCCACCTGTGGAGAGGCTTCAAATATAAAACATTTCAACATATTTCAACCAGGCGTCACAAGACGGGGTGGTGTTTGGCTCCTACGTGGATAATGGGCACCCCTAACCTCCAAGTTCGGCACCCCTTTGTGACTCCTGGAAGACGGTGGCTGGGTGCCCTGGGAGGTCAACGACATCGCCTACGGCGCGCCCGGCGTCTCCATCGACGAGAAGACCGGCCTCTTCCGATCCCCAGAGGAGTGGTGGAGGGAGTTCAGGTTCAAAGGGGGGGGGGTTTAGAGAGTGGTGGAGGGACCTGCAGTGGGAGAAAGGGCCCTTTTTGCAAACATCATGAACATATCATATCCCTCAACTCCAGGACCTTGAAAGTGACCCTTTGATATCCCAGGATAAGGTCACTTAGGTCTGTACAAGGTCACTTAGAGACTCCAATGAGGTCACTTTGAAGGTCCTGGCTCAATCTGTTTAAAAATTGTGCAGTTCTTATTCTGACTGGACCGTTCCGATCGCTTTCGACGGGCCTTTCTCCACGAGACTTGGTCGCCCCGTGCGGTGGGCCGTGCCCCGAAGCCACGCCGTGTCTCGCCCGCGTCGTGTGGCTCGGACGGCGTCCCGGACCGTCGATCGTCGCGTCGTCGGTAGGAGATGGCCTCGAGAGATCAGCTGGCGCGCACGAAGATCGCCGGGCTCAAAGACGGAACGGTGGCCATTCCCGATCGACACGGCGTGGGCGTCGTGGGTGCCTTGGGCGACGGCGCGAGAAAGATGGATGGGCGTGGAAGGTTGGAGGAGGTGGGCTGGGCGACGGTTAGTTGATGTGGCCCAGAGCATCCTTTTTCTGGAATATGCTGCATACATCATAACCTTTCTTTATACCTCAGTTATGACACTCATGCGAGCAACCATTCCATATACATGGATGGTCTGAGTTGGGATGGCAACACTTGAGATGTATCTGAGCAGGTAATGGTTCCTATGACAATTCTATGGGCCACTGAGGATTCTTGCCTTGTGGGTTTAGGGGTCAGTCTTTGACAGTTTGTCGGGTGGGAGCTGGCCGGGGGGTAGTTGAGACAGTTGCGGTGTCAGACTGCGGAGATGACGTTGGGGAGAAATCATGGTCTAAGAAGTTCGTTGATGGACCTTCTTCCTAAAAGGACCTTGGCTCCTATGTCGATCAATGGGCAGAACTCGACCTCTTCTTGGTTGGGGGATGAGCAAGGTGGCCAGTTGTAGGTCGTAGTACGTCTTCTTTGGTCCATCTCTTTCCTTATCAGCCGTAGTCCGACCAGGTCAGAAGAACATCCTCCTTCTACCCACTCCATCGCTCCTCTTCGGGCCCCCCAGCGTCCACGGCCGAGGTTTGAAGAAGACTGGGCGCTCTCAAACACGGCACCTGCTGGTGAAGACCAGCAAATACCCGTGGGCCTGGTACAAATACAGGCGTGCCGGATGTGAAACAGGTGGAGTGGTGGCACGGGCAAAGGAATTGGTAGGTAGGACCTAGCAACATACCTTCCAACACAAAGGAATTCCCTTGTATAATTTACATAGTTGTTCAACCTAATGCCAATAATTCCACTTTTTTTGGAGCCACTTGGATATTCATGTGTCAAGGCGTAGGATCCATGTGCTGAATTTGATCAATCTTTGTTGTTCACCAATATCACGTAGACTCTTGATTAACAAACCATCATAAACCCACCAAATCATAAGGACTCCTCAATTCAATTGGAGGGTTATTCCCTAGGGCTCCAACCACCTCCTGAGAAGATGGTTGGGTTGGGTTTGGGGGGTCTAACCACCTTCTGAGGAGATGGTTGGAGCCTACATGACTTGTCCATTGCCCGGTCCGTCACTGTCGTCGTCTTCGCCGACTGGCACCAGTCCTCGCGGTTGAACCGGGCCAAGTAACACACCAGTGGTCAGTGGTGCCAGTGATTCATGTGAGAAGCATGTGGGAGCTATAGTGACCAGCCCGAAAAATCCTAAAGGCCACACACCAGGACCCTGCAATGGTGTCCTGGCTGGACTACCCCACGCCACCGCAGGTATACATACAATTCGTGCCTGTTTTTTCTGGCATCCTTGGTGGGTGCCAGTGGCTTTCATCCATCAATCCGGCTAGGCCACTGTTGGACCCAGCCAGCGCTCCCCTCCAAGGCACCCACTGACTCACCAAGGGGTCCAGTCCGGCGGTCCGGAGACGCTCCGAGCTCGCTTCTTCTGCTGCTCCAGGTACTGGTCCATCCAGTCTGGCATCATGAAGGTCACTAGGACCGACGATGTCCGCATCCGCACGGGTCCCGCGCCACATCAGATCACATCGTATTGTATTCTGGCACGCGCGGCCTGCCAGCCCGTCCCCGCGCGCAGCCCGAGCCGGGCCGAGCCGCAGGGCTTTTGGAAAAACGGTGGTGGGGTTTTTGGTCGCGGGTGACAACAATGGCAATTGATGATGCTGAAGTAGGATTTGGGTTGGGTGCTTGCATAGTCCTCACTCGAGCTATATATGCTGAGTATGCAGTTGAGGTTCTCAGAAAACTCCTTGATGGTTTTCCATGCTCATGCAGGGCCGAGAGAACTTTCAACCCTCCAACCGAAAGGTGTACTGTAGATGATACGCGCACACCAGCAGTTCTATGTTCGAACTCACATCCACTCACATCCTCTCAGAACAAGTTCGGCGCAATTTCGCCCGAACAGATCTAGCATCAAAACATCCTCCAATGCCGCCCATGCCGCCCATGCCACTCCCATTTCATCTCCCTTTTTGGCACCTTTTTCAGCTGCTGAGTGCGACAGCTTCCCTCATCAGCTCCTCGACCCCTCGCTCAGCGCAGCGTCGTCTCGACCCGCCCAGCTGAGCCTCGTCCCCGTCTCGCCAGGACGATCGGTCCTGAGTATCCAGGCGAGCGGTGCAGGTGCCAAAAGGGGAGGGGCGAGGTTCCGGGGCGCGGTCACAGGTGCCGATGGGAACTTGTAATAGGACCCATGACTGTGGTGTTTTTTGGGACCGTTTTGATCTATCGATGTTCCATTTTATAACCACCCGAACTGGGTGGTGCTGGTGTATAGTTCTTAGTTCTTGTGCATCATGCATCATTCATTCCCTCCGGTGAAGACAGGTGCCAGTGAAGGCTTCTCCATCTCGACGGAGTTGGTTCCGGACATGTTCTACTCCGCGGAAAAGCACGGGCTTTGCGGGGTATCATGTGCCGGTTTGGGCTTCCGTCAGACCTCCTCAGGTTCGGTATGACTGGACGCGAGACCCTACACCCCCCAGTCGCACCGAAACGAAACAATATGGTATGACGGTTCGCCCGTCACGGGATGAGTTCCCCTACAGTTCAATGACCTCATGAAATGCTGGAGTTGGTCATACAAAAGCACTAGTAACAGCAAGCAAACGACCCGGTTTTACTGGGCCAGACTGGACTTCTTGGGTTCCATTGGTCCAGTTGGGGTGCTTCTGACCTCGGACAGACCGGCGACCCGCAGCAGGGAGACCTCCTTTCCCTCCGCTCCGGTCGTGCTCTCCGCCCCGCGCCGAGACCACCGCGGCGCGGAGCGCGCGTGCGTCTCGTGCGATGGAGGCTCTACGACATCCGTGAGGCGAGCTGCAAATTCGAGACCCGTGACATGGTCGGGATCCAGGACGGCCCCGGGTCGTGTCCGGGTGTTCGGTCGGCTGAGTGCGTCTGGAGACGACCAAAAAGGGTGTGTGAAGTGTGGAGAGGCGTGTTTGAAGTCCGACTGGTGACGGAAGGGGCAGCAGAATAAGGATGTTACAGCCAAGTGGGATAGAGAAAGTGACCTCAGATGCCGCCCCAGCCCAAATTCCAAGCAGCACAGACTGATATTCATGAATATCTGCCGGTTGGTAGGTTGGAGCATCAGGATGCTCTTTTCAGGTGCTCTTTGGTTCCCCATTTTTTTGCAACTTCGTTACTGATTGAAGGATAGGCTTGCTTCAATGTAATGTTGGTGCTAACTTGTGCTTGCAACACTTCCTTGTCCGTGTTTTGCTTCTTCTTCCATGGGGCATATAGACCAGCCGCGGCCGGGATAGATGAAGGCGGTAGAACGACGCTTCTGACGTCACAATGATCGTATTCTCGCCCAGCACGATCGTTTTCTCCAGGAAGCTTTCGTCGGCAACTACCAAGCGCGTGTGAGGCCAGGAGGGCCGGTAGCAATGGATTGCATCTTTACTGCCGCATTTGCCATATCGATGTTTATAGTCTATACCCAGGGCAAGCGCAATTCTGAGAAGATGCCCTTTTGGTGGAACTTGTGGATCGGAGCATAAATCGCTGGGGCATCGTTTCAGCAGCTGCAAGAAACATCAGCCGAAACACCGCCGAGTTTTGTTCGGAAGATCTGGGGGGTTTCCACTCGCAAGCCCAATTGTGATCAATTGTGGCAACCAATTTGATGCTCGAAAGCGGGAGTAATAGAGGACCATAAAATACCATAAAATAACTATCAGTTGTTCACGACCGGCATTTGTTCATCAACCAATGAAGGAAAAGAAAAACAACAACTTGAATAATGAAAGTCCATCCTATGAAACCAAGAAACCAAGAAACCAAAAACAATGTGCAGACTATATCATTGACCCCTTCAACCACCCAACATGTATCCAAAGAAACCAAGAAACCCATCACAAAACCGTTGATCATTGACCCCCCTGTTCCACCCTCTGCCCGGTCAGGCTTCTACTGAAGGAACGGCCATGGGGTCCGGTCTTCCTCTACTCGAAGGATGTCTCAGACGCGTGAGCAGAAATCACGCGATCCCCAGAAGGGCACCAGAAGTCCAATGGAAGCCAAGTCGGAAGTCCAAATAGATGGGGCGTACATCTTAAAACACTCCTTTGGATTGTTGTTCAAGTCTCTTCAGTTCAAGGAGTTCTATGAATGATGTTCTACTAAGATCATTCCCACCAAAAGTCACATGGAGTTGGGTGGTGTGACTCGTCCCATCCAGGGGCCGTGGATGTGACAAGGGCACCCCAACTACCTCCATGGATAGCACCAAGTCGAACGTGACTGCTGGTAGAGAGCCGCTTTTGGATGATTCTGTTGCATCTCTCCATCTACTTGTAGGAGGCTTTCAGCTGTTGAGCACATGAGAACTTGATTCCCCACAAATTGTTATAGGGTTCCGTTTGTGGCAAACACTTTGAGCACCTGCCTCAGTCCTTCAAGATTGGCTGGAGCGTTGGCATCTTCTGGCAAAGCATGCCCGGTCTTTGAAGGATCTACTGTCACAAAGTTCTACTTTCGTGATCTCCGCATATATAATATAGCCCAGACACTCCATGTATGGCATATTTACATACATTGGGGTGGTTTCAGAAGCCAATGTAGGCATAATAAACCATACATGGAGCGTTTTGGTAATTATCTTTCCGAGGCGTGGTTTCCCAATCATGCGTTAAGTAGTTGCTTTCTTCCAGTCGCCCAGCTGTGTTTTTTTGTGGTCGGATGAATTTTGAGCAGCCTCACTAACACACACACACATGAAAACCCACACGACTTGGACCCCCAAAAAACTCCCGTGACTTCGTTGAAAACCATCCTTGATAGAAACTGACCTGCCTCAATGCTTCATACATCCTGACCTTCATTGCTTTTCTCACACCCGGAGAAGTCGAGTCGCCAAACTGGACCTGTGACGACGGTGGACATCTCAGGAAGTGAAAAGTTGGGAGCGAGCCATCCGCATGTCCAAGTACCTGCTCAATGCGACCGACCGGGAGGCTTCCGGGGCGGGGCGGCGGACTCGGGGACTGGGTGGAAAACGTGGGAGCTCTTCCAGTGCCTATACTCAGGGATGCAGCTCAGGGACGCAGCTGGCGATCAGACTGCTCTAGATGGTTTCATGTGGACCTCTGGAAAGCGAGAGGTGTACCAAGCTCGAAATCTCCGCGCGGTGGTTCTCTACGCGCTCTCAGTCCTGGCCCCGCCTCGATCGAATGCCCCACGCCAACAGCAGTCCTAGAGGGACCCTAGGGGAACCTGCATGTTGAAACCACTCTTGCTTAGAAGCAGCCGCTGGAAACTCTGAAATCCGGCCTACCTTGAGCCCCACCAACCGCCCCAAGGAGGCGGCAAGTACAGCATACATAATAGTAGTATAACATGGAGGAGTGCTTGGGAGCATCTTGTTTTGATACTTTTGGTTGGGCTCTGGAAAAAGGGATGCCAACACTCTCGCCCACTCCACCCCTCCACCGGACACCGGCAAACCAGGCCATGGCCTTTGTCATTGGACGAGTGGCGGGGTCCATCATGGCAAAAGGGTGGAACGCAGCCTTCAAGTATTACAAGGCCTGGAGCATCTACATCGGTGGATTCGCTGGATGGAGTGGGCGGTCGCTTGACCTTCTGCGCCGCGACGAAGAATCACCGATTTGGGACTGAGTAGTCATGGTTTCAGTCATGGAGTGAACAGGCTGTTGGCATGGCCGTAAGCTCCTTTTGGATCATTTCGCAAGGCATGCTGGCATCATAGGGCCTTGAAACTGCTCCAACATACTGTTTAGGTTTGACCCTCAACCTCCAGCCTCTCACGTCCACCAGCCCTTTGCGGACCAATTGGTTCTCAGAAAAGCGGACCCTTTCGCCTTCACCGCAACCGACTTCGGACCGATTCTCTCCCTCACACACACCGACCACCACGTGACGCCCAGCGTTACTGTGGAGGAGTTGGAGGACACCCGGCGGCTGATCCGCGGCCTGGCGATGCGTCTCACGAAGTTGGACCTCAGCCGCGCCTGGAACAAGGCCGCGCGCAGACGCCGCGCGCGGTTCCGGCGCGGACGGGAACGGGGCGGGATCCAGCGCGAGAGGTATCCATGGAGGAAAAGAGCTGGGCTGGGACGGCGAGGCGAAAGAGGTGCAAGCGGAGGTGGTGAGGTGCAGATAGACATTGGTGGAAACTGCATGGAAGATGATGGAGAAGAAGCATGGGGAACTGCTAGAGGATATGAGATGAAGGCACCTGAGAACTTCAATTCAAATTATGTCAGCGCAAGTTTGCCTATCAAGGGCCTGTGGAGATTTTGGAAGGACGTGCGCACATTGGTGTTTGGATGTTTGGTGGTTGTTATGCTAAACATTCCTTCAGACGAGTGTTCCGGCACTCTTTTCTGTTGGAGGTTGGTTCATGCTCAGCACCGGTAACCCTTCACACCTTGTGACCCGGAGGGTTTTTTAGCATCCAGAACGACGAACTCCACCGATGCCCCAAAAAAGAACAAGTATACAGTACACAGGATATACCCGGATCTTCCAACTATGCAACATGTTTTTTGCCTTTAGGGTGGTTTTAGACATGAACAGGCAGACGTTTGGCAGACCTTGGACCGTTTTCTGGGGATGGTATGCTAACTCACAGGCCCGCCTGGTGTACATGCAGAAGACTCAGCAAGAGAAGCTGCGGAAGGACGGAACGAAAGAGTGCAGAAAGGGCGGCCAGAAGGGAGGCATGTGGAAATCCACGGCTTGAAGACCTGCGAAAGGATCAACAAGACCTGGCAACTCAGTCCCAACCCGAAACAGATGGTTGTTTAATGATATGGCCATTGAGATCCTTTCCCTACAGGTCAAGGACTCAATGACCTCATTTTACTGGAGTTGGTCATACAAAAGCACCATCCAAGCAAGCAAACGACCTGATTTTACTGGGCCTTTGGACTTGTAGGGTTTATATACTACATAGATCTACATAGCACGTGGGGCCGGCACTGGGGAAGCATCCATGCAGTTTCTATCATCAAGCAATGTACATAGCACGACCCTCCGTGCAAGAATCATGGAAGTGGAGTTAACCTAGTGTGTGTCCCATGAGCTGTAACAGTCAATAAAAGATGGTCTGCTTTTGAAAAGGCCTTTGCTAACCATCATCATCCACTGTGACTGGTACACACCCAAAGTTAACCCCCAGCTTGTAGAGGAACATAGTCTTCGCAGGCGACAGGGCGTCCAACAAGCCTGCGAACGTTGGAGGGAGGTTTATCCTGCCAGCCTCCATGACGGATCCCGAGTCTGAAAGCAGCCACAGGAATGAGATTGGCTGCTAAACCCCGACGAACTCTGTGAATCGAATTCAGTGCAGCCACACTTTGATGAATACAGTGCCGCAGACCGTCGGTGTTTATTTTTTGGGGGGGAGCATTTAAGGTCACAGCATCGCATTTGACTCATGTATAGGTGAATCACAGGTTTTCGGTTTTCAAGGGAATCACACTGACTAGTAGCCACACACTGATGCATGATAGCCACTATTGCGCATGCCAAAAACCCATCGAACCACGGCGAATCTTATCGAATCACCGCACTGATACGACGCGTATGTTCGACCAGACCCATCACGGCGTGGAAGCCTGTTGGGAGGCTCAGAAGGAGTGTAGGGAGGCTGAGCCATACATCAAGTACAGCTGAGCCATCAAGTACAGTCCCTCATCACTGTTGGGAGGACCATCAAGTACAGCTGACCCTGCAAAAAAAACCTCACAGTTGAAGGGCGCCTTCTTTCGCGCGTCACAGTTGAACCGCGCGTATGTATCCGCGACATACGGAGACCTAGCCAGCCAACCGGCTTTTCAGTTAGTATTTGTCCATGCCCAAGCACTCCATGGGACTGGTATATATGCCTACAGGGCTCCCTTTTCAACCACCCCAATGTATGGATATGCCAGTCCCATTAGTCGTGTCTGGGATCTTTTTCCAGCCCGGAAGGTGGTGCAGGATCCGATCGCCGCTCCGGGCGCCGACCCCGAACGGCAGGAACAGCAGGATTGGGCCGCACGCTTCTTGCGGGATAAGATGGAGAGGATCAACAACCAAACGGCCAGGTGCGCTGCTGCGAACGCTTCATTCGGTCGATCTACTCTGGTTGGGGGGGGATGGGAGGGGGTCAGACCGATGGTGCAGGCACAAGACGGGGGGTCTCCCGTTTTGAGCGTTTAAACCGTCAGCAAAACATGGCCAAAGCCTTTCACGTACTTCTTTTGTTTGTCCATCTTTGTTATGATCTATACAGATACAGTCTACATAGTAACCATTCTTCAGTGTCGTTCAGCTTCGTCGTCCAGCCCTTGAAGGAGGGGCCCTTTCAGGTCGTTTTGAATTTTGTGGCTTCGCTTCAGCTGATTCATCCTGATTCATCCTTATTCATGCCAAGTACCTGTCCCTACAAGTCAAAGACCTCATTTTACTGGAGATGGTCATACAAAACCAATACTTAAGGAGGTAAAAGACCAGGTTTTACTGGGTCAGACTGGACTTGTAGGGTGTTGCTTTGTACCAAGGATCCACCTTGTTTGTGCATCAATCTCAGAATCTCTTTTGGCCAATCAAGCTTAGGACCGAAGCTGGGATGGAAGAACATGGTTCTACTTTGCCATTTGATCAGCTACCATCCAAAACCATACCCACCGTGGCCCACCTTAGCCATACCAATCAAGCTTAGAACCATTTTACCTAAAACCATACCTTTGTTGTGGCCAGAGGCGACAGCAGGCAGCACCATTCGGCCGCGGCAGGTCGCCGGCGATGATTCGGCTGGCGGCGATCAACAAGGCGCAGCTCCTCTTCCGACACTTCCGCCAGGCGGGGACCAGTCGCGGGATGTTTGGGGCCGGGGCATGGCGGGATGTTTGGGGAGGGTCAGGGTTTCAACATGGGGGGCCACGTCCTACGGTCTTCGCACGGGTTTTTGGTTGAGGAAGATGGGAGAGGATTGGGGTGGGATTGCAATGGATTGCAGTAGCCACTCGGTTTCGCGCCGGACGGACCCTCCGACCTTCCCCGGAGCAGAGGACGTAGATCACGTGGCCAGTTGCTTAACGTGGTGCTTACTTAAAGCCTGTCACGTGTCCCCAGGCGCACGGATCCAAGCAGATACGAGAAGAAAGGAGGAGATGAAGAAAGCAGTATGTTCTGCGGATCGACCTGCGCTCGATGCGGCGCTCGACCTCGCCAGGATCACATCTTCGACCGATCCTATGCGCTGGGCACCAATGTGAACACCCGAGTTCAGCAGATGATGAAGGGCGTCTCCATGTGCCGCGCCGGCGCTTCAGATCGGCCAAGCGTCCAAGCCGGAGCCGAGCTAGGGGACGAGCATCCGATGATCCGATGTGCTGTCAAAGAAGACCTTTGAAATGTCCAAGTTATATATAGGTGGTTTATACGGATCTCCTTTCTACAGGACAGTGCCATACCTTGGGGTTTGTGCCATCTACTCTGCAACTCTGCAACCACTGTTGAAACAGGGGTCTTTAGGTGACCCGCAAAAAGGATGTCCCTTTACTTCAGATATCCCAGGGCATCCAGCTACCAGTTACCACTATAGCTGGTAACCAGTGGTTCTAAAGACTAACACCATAGACCGAACGAATCCCTGGTTCCTTATATAGTGGTTTGCCTGGCATGCACTGGGTATGGATCCAACTTGACCTTCTACATGGGTACCCGCGCCGAAGCACCACGAGAGGAGCGGGGCCGTCACCTATAGTGCTCTAGTTCTGGTAAGCGAGGTGAGCGAGGTTTGACGGACCACGGTTTTAAAGGGTTTAGACTACACCAGGGTCCACTTTCTTCTGACTGGTGCGACGATTTCGTCCTGAATTTGGAACGACCCCTCCACTATATAAATGGATATATACCATCATTAGGATCCATTCCCTCATTCCTTACTATAACCCAGACACTCCATGGGACTGCCATAGGACTGCCGCCCCATTGACCCCCAAAACCACCACCCCTGGCCGTATATACGGCAGTCCGGACTGGCAGTCCCAGACAGGTCGTGTCTGGGTAATGGATACCGCACCAGTCAGTCTAAGGGTGATGGGACCACGGCAGCAGAACCACCGCTTCGTCCGCCAGGTGGAAAGTTAGCTCCGCGGTACGTTTGCTTGCTTGCATCAACGGTCGGTTTCGACACGCCTCAAGAAACGAAAGGTGCAGAGGGGCTTAGAGCTTAGAGCTTGGCATAGCCTTTGGTCATCTTTTGTCAGCAAGGTTAGAGCTTACCTATCAAAGGGATGGCAGATACGAGCTGAGAAAAATTCATGAAGAAAGCCGTGACCTCACCACGAACACATTCCAGCGCCACTGTCAGCATTAATGGATCAAATGGATCACATCACCTTGCAATCAGTGAAGTGTTCAAAAGCTCCGGATTTCCAGCGTTCCCAGGGATTTGTCTTTGAGGTTCCTCGTTTCCCGCATGGCACGTGTTCCGGCCATAGTGGTGTTCAACGGTTGCTTTTGCCTAGTGCACAGCGGTCATGTTCAAGCACTGGAAGACGCGAAGCGCCAGATTGAGGCTGGTGGCCACTTCTCGGTGGTTGCGGGCTACTTCGCAGTGGCCCCAGATGGATATGTCCGGAAGAAAGTCGCGCAGATGGAGCCCTGGATGACTGCCACGGTGCGCGCTGAAATGTGCAAGGCCGTTGCCACGGATCGCGGATGGGCCATTTCTGCTGCAGAGTTTGCTGGATGGAAGGCCTGTGGACAGGCCATGGTGGCCAGTTTTCATGATCCATCCACTGCAGTCTTCGGCGTGCGTCAGGAGGCCAAGAAGGGTGGCATCACCCAAAAAGGCGAGGGGGTGACTGCTGAGTTGAGCTCCAGCAGTATCCGCAAAGACTTCCAAGAGCTGGGACCTACTTCTCAGACCGTTGACCAGCTCGTCCGGAGAGGCCTGCTAGGAGCCGCCGTGGGAGAAGTCCTCAAGCAGCATTTGAAGATCTCCACTTCCGCGGAGCCCGCTTCCTCCCCTCCGGCCACTTCCGGTCGAGACCGGCTGTCCGATGGAGGTCGCAGGGTCGAGCATCGAGAGATTCGCGCCATCTACGATGAGGAAACGGTCACCGTGTACCAGGCATTCAACCAGGCCATCGCGGAGGCAGCTGTTGCGGCCAACTCCTTCCGAGCACCCATGGAAGCCGGTCTTTACAAAGCGGGTCGCAGGACTTGGATCAAACTGAGTGCTGTGTGGATACCGCTGCGGCTGGACAACGTTTAAGGATCCAAACCAGGCACACGTCCTTGCATTATGCCTTTCACGCCAGGGCTTCGAAGAGTTGCTCTTGAAAGCACAGTTGTCGCATTCTGTTACTCTTTGTCGCGACAGCCCTGTGGTTGTACAGTGGGATCCTGAGCGCGTCATGGATGTGCCGTCGTCTGGCAAGCACGTGTATACCAGGCCGCTCAAAGAGGTCCGGTCCATCCAGGTGGGTTTGCGAGGGGCAGCACTGGAGAAACTTCTGGATCCAAGCTTCGTGCTGGACATTACGGACGAAACCCCCAGGTTCAAGGCAGCAGTTGCTGCGTTGGAAGCAGGCCATGCGCTGGAGGCCGCTCAAGCATTGTGGCCGGTTCAGCCAGAGAGGCCCTTCCCTGTGTCGCCGGAGTTGATGTCAGTGCTTGGCATGCACGAGCACACGGATGTGTGACACAATTCAATTGTACAGATCCATGGGATGTCCAAACATGACCCTCAATGAGGCCAACATGCAACTCTGAGCTGCAGCGGTTGCGCATGTACAGGAAGTCTCTCAGACAAAAAGAGTCCAGTCAGCATCCAGTCAAAGAAAAACCATATACAATTCTACCATTTAGAAATAACATGATTCAGATGCTGCTCCGCGGCTCCGCCATGAATGATGGATGTGATGGGTTGCTCAAAAATGGCCACTTCGTTCATCACACCAGCCAGCACACCAGTCATGCCAAGCCCTACCAGCCATGCCAAGCCCTACTCCCCGGCTTGGGCCACCGCCCTACTCGGAGCCCTACTCGGACCGACACGGGTCGACCGTGTTGACTTTCGCGAGGATGGGGTCGTTCAGCTCCTTGTCGACTCGGGAAGTGCTTCACATGGCTTTGCGGGGTGAAGGCGGGGAAGGAACTGAGGAACGACTCATTGGGAGCATGATGGGACACGAGGAGGCGAGGAGACGATGCACCGGTCTGGGAACCCTATAATAAGCCAACGTAGAAAATAGATGAAATACTTGGGAATCATAGGGTTGCATGGAACACTTTGAAAAAACACATTGAACAACATAGACACAGAAGCAGCACAAGCAGCAGCACAATGAGCTCTTTTGATCAGCTCTTCGTAGTGTAATGGGTCTTGTCGGGCAGGCCCTCAATCAAGCCTTTTGAAAAGAGTGCTGGAAGGCGGTCCAAAACGTGAGTTGCAACCACTTCTGTTCCCCACTCTCCACCCTAAATAGCTTTCTGTTTGTTTCTTTTGAACGAAAACTTTATTTTGGAGAGGGACGGCGCAGAGGCCCAAACAAACCTTGCGTCCAGATGAGGGGATGTCCAAGCGTCAACCTGCAAACTTGGATCCACGACACGGAGGTGTGCTTGTTCTGTGGCTCTAGCCATGCAGATCTTGGCGAGGTTGGACGGCCAGATGGACAGGTCAACCACCCTTTCGGTGGCGAAGGGAGGCACACCTCACGTGCCACATCACGTGTCTTCCGCCGTGGTTGGCACCATGGTGGTGGTCATCCGAGTCTCCGAGACCATCCACGGGTTCCCGTGATGATTCCGAGTGTGCCAGACCTTCCTTCCTTTCCAACTCGATCAATTGAAGAAAAACAAGTGGCCGTTGGATTCCAGCTCAGCTGCCACACAGGGTCGCTTCTCCCGCCTCCCCTCTCCACCCCCCCTCTCCACGTCCATCGTTTGCCAGCCTTTCGTGTCCTGGTCCAGGCTTGAACGCCTTCTTCGAGGATATCGACATGTACATCAACTCCAAGGCCTCCTCCTACTCCGAGGCCTGGGGGGCCCCCGAGGCAGCCGGGAAGACGAGACGAGACGGGTCGACCGGGCGCCCGGCGGAGGAGAGCGGCCAACCCTTGTCGAGTCTTGGTGAACGACCGACTTCGCATGTTGGTTGAGATATGAGATGCTCGGAGTTGGCCCTGGGCCTTTATGTGGCCTTCTAGATGGTTCGCTCGCCTCAAGAACGGTTTCTTGATGTTTCGAAATGTCTGTTTTCATGGGACTGAGCGGGTTCAGAGCAGAGGCCGTTGATGCAACCATGCAATCCCCAAATACGCTGAACAGGTGAACGTGGACTTGCAGAAGATGGCCTTAAGCATCTCCGAAAACTTCAACATGCTCTCCTTCAGCGAGCACGAGGGCAGCTCCCTGTAGCTGAGCGGCAGCACAGATTCTTTGACATTGGCCACGTGCTTCGTTCCGAACACGATCTTCTGGACTCTTTTGGCGCCCACGCACCCAAATATGCCCACATGCCTATACGCCCACATGCCTTGCCCGTGCTTTGGCGCCCCACATGGTGCCTAACACCCCCCGCGGCGGGCGGTCGACCCCCCCTCTCTAACCACGCCGGTCCGTCCGAGGCTTCACGGCGCGAGCTGGGAGAACTTCGTGAACCTCAATCAGATTAGCTCCGTGCCTCGGGCGAAGATGCCTCGATCTGTGCTGATTGTTCATCGTCCTTTTCTCGACTGGTCGATCGACTCCGCTACACCCGGAGTCGTGTGCAGTCTGGTTGGGGTCCCTGTTTCTCCGTTTTGGTCTAGAGAAGCACGCCCAAGAGACCGAAATTCGGCGAACGAACCGAGGATGGGACGGAGACTGGTTGGACGGTGGGATGGAGGTCTTGTAAACAGTCAACTGGCAGTGAGAGTGTTGGTATAGGCTGGTAATGACAGTAAATGTAGACTTCTTGATCAACATTAAACACAGACAAAACAGAAACCATTTGGATGGTAATACCTCTTTGCCGCTTCATAAACAAAATACCTGGACCCTGAAGAGTTTACTAATTTTTGAACTGTTGGGTTTGTGAACGCAAAAAGACGCAAAAAGCCGCAAATCCTGAAAAGCGGACTGAATGTTCCAGTTGGTCCAAACGTGAAGAAATCACTGAGTGGAGGACAAGATCATATATCAGATATCAAGAGCAGATTCTTCACCACTCCATGCTTGGCTTTAAGATACGCATGATCTCCATTGTAGAATCACCTCTTAAGAAACACGATCGATGATAGATGTGCAAATCCATGCGTATCATTTTTTTTTACACCTGTCCATCCTGTCACAGATTTTGACACCTAACTTGGTGTTTCTTTGGCATAATTATATAGATCCATCATGATCTATCAATGAGCTGCCAAATGAAATCCCACATGCCATATGCATGTTTTGGTGTGGATTCAATACTAGTGCTTTCAATATATTTCATACATGGTCACACTTTTCCCTGCACAACGACAAAAGAAGCGTACGCACATATCCGCAAAGAATACGCAAATATCCGCAAAAAGTACGCAAAGCCCCGCAAGAGTGCACAAAGTGGGATTTCTGTACAGTTTCAAATTTAGCGATTTAATGGCCTACCATCATGAGAAGATTTGACCTGGAGCTCGTGGGATGGAGCAAACTAGTGTGAATGCTTGCCACATATGGCAATCTTGAAGTTTCACCATATCCTGTAGGTTGATAAGTGCCCAGGGTGGCAATTGGCTAGAAGTGTACTACACACTCAAAGAGCCAAAGTCATGATATTGTATCGTACAACTCTTGATCAACTCCTCGTATGGCTCAAAGATTCGTACATAGGTGATCATGCACCAAGCATAGATGTGCTGGCTGGTGGGAGTCATTTAAGAAAGCGTCCAGTTTTGTTTTGGAGTGTACAGTTTTGGCTTGAATCGTTTAAATGATAGAAATGCCAAACGTACAGAAATTATTGCACTTTCAAGGGTTCAGGTAACTTAACTATGAGAGAGACTGTATTCATCAAGAGTCTACATCTATTGCTTTGTGATGCCGAACATTGCGCCGGAAAACGGCTCGAGAGTCAACGTTCGGTCGCCAGCCCGGAGCAGCCAGGTGGTGCTTCACTCCGAGCGCTCCTTCGCCAAGAGCCGCCAGGGGGAGCTGATGCCACCGGGCAGCTGTGGCGGTGTTTGGCACCGCGTCTGTGATTCAGCGAAGGTGTCTGACGGGGCACGCGGGGAACCGTGTGTTTGTGACCCCAAGCAATCTGAGGCGCCAAAACTCCACGAGAGGCGCTGCTCTGTTTTGGGGAGTGTCTTCGATCCTGTGTGCCTTTTTTCTCCCTGAAATAGAAATCATATGCCGTATTACCAGGAGTCACAAAGGGGGTGGGGTTTAGTCCCCAAGTGAGTGGAGTAGCTGGGCACCCCTAACCTCCATGGATCGCATCCCTTTGTGTCTGCCGTCTGTGTCTGCCGTCGTTCTTCGGTGGCGTCGGTCGGACGGAGCCCGGGCCGAGGTTCACCATCCATGGGCCACGCGTGGGCTGGGGGCGCACCTTGCGCCATGTCATGGATCCGGAGACGCAAAGGCTCAGCCAGGAGGCGGGAGATGCCCGAACAGACCAGAGGACTGGTCAAAAGATCAGTGGAGGTGTCCGGGTGATTCGAAGCTGGGGGTTGTTACGTATTTGTTTGGAGGAACAGGAGTGGAACACTCCGAGAATAGGGGTCGTTTCATTCCGGAATTCCGAAACATCAGCTGGTTCACTGTGCCAAGTGATGCCAGTCGTGGGACCGTGTCTTTGGATGACCGGTCTCCCAACCAACCGGAGGGTACACTACTAGTAGGCTTACAGGGTTGTAGGGTTTGGCTTGGCTTTGGCTTGGCTCTTCCCATCCGGACTCTAGTTAGACATGGAACCATATATGTGTAACCGACGACCCCAAAACAACCCACGAAAAGGTCGACGAAAGTCTTGTCGCGACATGTTTTACCACCCCAAAAAAAGAACTCGACTAGAATGAGACTGCCTTTAGAACCCAGACACTCCATGTATATGGTATATATTTACGGATTTTCATTAATGGCAATATTATTCATTCACTTATGGCATTTTCTTTAACTTGGCTATCTTAATTTATAAAAGAAAATGCCATATTATTCATTATTTATATCTTCTTTTATTTTATGGGGATGCAGCATTAATAATAAAGAAGAAACCACATAAATTAAATATGCTGCATCCTCTATTTTATATTATTAATGGCATTGCATGATCAAAATAAATAGAAAAGAATATTGCAATGCCATCTATAAATGAATGAATGACGTAGCCGATCGGCCTACATTGGGGTGGTGCCAGGGGGGTCAATGTATAGGCATATATTCCAGTCCCATGGAGTGTATGGGGAAGGAATATGCCGGCCCATGTGGTTGTATGGATGCTCATGACAGGTCGAACCGCTCGGTCGGTCGGGTCGAGGGGTCCAGCCTCGCCATACCTGGAACCCCAGCCCCAAGCAGAAACCAATGGTTGTTCCAAGTGATGTTCCAATATGGCTTGCTTGAAATCCTTTGCATAGCCTAGGGCTCCAAGTACCTCAGGCATTTGGAGCCGGATAGGACGGCCCATGCCGGCCGATGCGGCCGATCAGCACCCGTCGACAGGTCATCGGTTCACCCGATGGAAACTTTCTGGGGGCCGCGCTGGCGAATGGAGAGCAGCTCCAGTGGCTGCGCTTAGTGACTTGGCCGAACATGACTCCCTCGGGGCCGAAGGCACCATCAGATAGGATCCAGGCGCCTGGATAGTTCTTACATGTTCTTGCTAATTAAGGTGATTCGTCGCGTTTTACAATTGGATTAAGCTCGAGACGGAACCACATAGCTCGACTAACCATCCCATCCCCCGCCGGCCGCTTCCGGGCCGCCTTCCCGGCTTCTTCAGGAGATCGGCATCCGCAGCGCGTCCGTACCAGACCTGCGGCGGGAGCTGCCGGAGGAGGGACAGATGGAAGTCTTCGGGGATGGCACGGAGGCACGGCGTGGCCCCACGCTGTTGGAACAGCAGCGGTCCGATGAGGTGACAGGGTGAGGTGCTGCGAAGAGGGGTGAAGAGCACCACTCACGTGGCCTTCAACATGCCTTCCAACTCTGGGGGCTTTTCGGTGAGTTGGACGTTGGATGGAGTTGGTTTCTTTTTGTTGGACAGACGTGGGTGGTCAATTTGAGCTCTTTTGTCGTCCCGGTCGAACATCCCTCGGGTGGGGGAGGGAATCTTTGATGTCGATTTTCTCCCGACATCAGATCAGCAGGGCGTCCGAAATGCTGGCTTGCTATGCTTCACTGCCTTGGCTGTAGGGGAGGGCATAGCCAAAGAACGTCGGCTCCTTTGGACCCTTTTCAGCCGCCAAAGATCATCCGACATCCAAAGGCTGGTCGGTTTTCGGCTATACATGTTCCCAATCGTGCAGCCACATGCTGAATAAGATCAGAGAACAACTGGACCTTTTCATAGCCTTCCCAACAACTTACCACCTCTGCCACCTCTGCTGCCTCTGGCGTCTTAGCGGTGGGAGTGGCGTTGGTTCGTCCGCTCAGCTCACCACGTCGGCCAGGTACGTTCAGATTTTCAGACCTTTGTCGTGCTCACCGTGCTGGGGAAGCGCTTCAGGCGACGGCATGGCGCTGGCCGTGGCGCACGTGGCCGTGGGCGTGGGTCAGTTCGATGAGTCAACTTTGTGACATGGATGGGGTAGAAGTTCAAAGGAAGTGACATGGAGATTTCTTGGGCAACTCCTGCAAATATATGGGGATGTTGGGGGAAGATCATCAGATGTGCTCCATTTTAGTCTACTTACTGCACAGATGGTCATGAGAAGAGGAGTGAAGAGGATACACGAAGAGTTTATGTTGGGAAGGGATGTTGACCCTCCAACAGGTCACCACCTGCGACTTTTAAGTCTCCAAAAGCAACCTAAGGAGACCTGTAGGAGGATCCAGCTACTGGTAAGGCATCTCTCAAATTTCGTGTGGCTGTTTCTTTGCCTGCCGGACCGCTCCGACAATGGTTGTTTCTTGAGAGAGTGATAGCGACGGCTATTGTAGCCATAGCAATATAACTCCGGGCCTGGACCTCTTTTCGGGGTGTCCTGGACCTTGAGATCCCGAAGAATCGTGGTCAGGTGCTGGTAGATGGACTCATGGATCCCGTTCATCTTCTGTCCGGTTTTCTGGCGGCCAAGACATCACCGCCCTTTGCTGCCGGGGCCCATTGGGGCCCACCGGAAAAGCCCTGGAAGATCTGGAAGGTGACCTCAAAACCACGTCGGGGGGTAGATGTTGTAGAGGAAAACCGTCTTCCAGTCTGGTCTATGCCATCAGGTTTCATGTGAATTGTTCGGGGTGCACTGCCTAAAAGAATTGGACACTTCATGGGGTTTGGACCCGAACCTTTTTCCCTGTCCGTTGGAGAAGGGCCCCAGATTCTTAGGGTGTTGGAGACTCAGCCCCTACCTCTAACAATCATGGAAGTGGACCACCCCCTCTGGGTGTTCTGAACAAATCATGCCTTTGGGGCCCGGGCCCAAACGTCCCACTTCCATGCTTTGATGGAGGGAGTGGCTCTGCCCAGCTCGCGGGGTGCCGCTTTCAGGAGCACCTCATCTACGGGTAGCACACCGTCTTACCAGGCGATGCGCCGACCGTGGCGAATACAGCGGAGTCCATCAGGGTGACTGGAACATGACACGCTCTGATGTTATGTTTATGTTTATTGAGTGTTTGTTAATTTGTGGTTTAAACTTAATTTTAATGGATATTCATTGGCCAAGTGTCTTTGTTAGATTTTTCTTTTGGCCGGACCTGAGTCATGTGTTGGACCCTGAGTTTAACCGATTGAGTGCGAGGCATGGGGAACAACGGAAGTTTGTCCAGCTTCAAGCATTGCAGAACTTCTGGTTTAGTGAGAGGGTGGGACACAGCCAGGGAACTTTGATTTGTGCACCAAGCAAGAATCTATGGACCAATGGACTAAGTGCCATGGGCTTTCAGAACATCAGCACGGTTCTGGTCGCGCAGTACATAGACTGTGTCAGAACCCTAGGCTTCCAACCACCATTGATTTAACAGCCCCCACAGAAACACCATTGTTTTTGCTTCTTTATTGGATTTTACACTACACAACCAGGTCTTTCCAAATATTGTAATGGTCTTGGACGCCAAGGGGAAGGTTTGTTTGGACTTCAGATACTTCCTCACATCATTGGTTGCCTACTGGTCTTTTCTTTGCACATGACCCCAGCACCTCGTTTAAAAAAGCACACGATGGAGCGCAAGATGCTGTTCGGCTGTTGGATTATTCACGAAATCGGCGCCCAAGTTTAGACAAGAGCACTAGCACCAACCCAGGTTCGGGGTGGTTTGTAGACCCCGCTGAAGATGCATGTTCCATCTGACAGCCACCCAAACTGTTTGGTGCTGGAGGACAGCACGTAGTGTTCTTTTGCTTCAGATCGACTAGCACTGGTACTTCAGTTACTATACCCAGACTACCCAGACCCTCCATGCCATACATGGAGTCTTTGGGATATATAATTGCTATAGCAAAGCCAGCCCTCTTGCAATCGATTGACCTTCAAACGCCACCCGCCAGGGGCCGTATTTGGGCAAGTTCGTGGCCGAGATCCCGCTGCCCGTGGGCGAAAAGGGCCTGGCGCGCTTGGACACCTCAGAGATCGGCATCGATGTGGTCGAGCAGGTGGGGGTGTCCTGGCTGGAGGTCCCTGTACGATCTGTACGTAGTGGCTGGGGCTTCCACCAGCCAGGTGACCCCGACATGAAGGTGCTGCGACATTGACATGTGCGGAGGCGATTGGTTGAGTCAGATGGGTCGCCTAACTTCTCTCTCCCTCTCTCTCTCTGCATGAGTAGGTCACCGTAGTCCTGACCCGACTCCACAGGTCGTCATGAGACCTGGGCATGGGCCCAACAATCCTCAACTCAATGACCTGGCGACGGAGGCTGTGGTTTCCAATTCCTTTTCTTCCAGGATTGGTAGAGATCCATGACTCACGGTCCTTGGCCTTGGACCGGTCCCGAAACCGGTTGCCATGAAAAAGACGACCTGCTCCGATGTGTCCGCCAGGACCCAGTGGATCCAGAGAAGAATCGCACCATTTGGGCCACCAAGATGCCATTATGGAAGGCCTTCACGATCGAGGAGCCGTTCACGATTCTGCACTCGGAGTTTCTCTTTTTGATCCGCGCGTGGGCGCAGGGCGCAGGGCGGCGCAGGGGAACGAGGTCATTGACCTGTAGGTGCCGGCCCCCCAAAAAACAGATTGCAACATTGACACAGAGGCATGACATGCGAATTTTAGGACAATTCGTGGTGTTTCTCAATTGAGGGTCTGGATTGACCAAATCCAGCAGTGTATCGAGTCAGTGATTTCTTCACCTGCACTTGGCTCCTTGAGGAGGAGATCATGAAGCCAGAGCCACCCCCAGCGACCTCCGCCTTGACGACACTGGTGGGTGAGGGCGCGCTGACCACCTTGGGCTTGGTGGACGAGGTGCAGGAGGAAGTGATGCCTGGTGGAAGTGACGCGTTGCCGGATGAGGCGACGTGGCGTTCCTACCGTAGTGTCTCTTTTGGTCATTGCACCTCTCATCCATCGCGGAAAGGTCTGGAAGAAGTGTTGGTGTGGAAGTGTGTGAAGACCAAAACCCTGGAAGAATGTGATATCCGCAGTTATATCCGCAAGCACTGGAAGTCATGTGCAGCTATCCTCGACCATTTCATCAAGTTTTACACTATGAAACCCATACTGCCATACCACTGCACAATTGACATCCATTGACTGCCTTCCATGCTTGGAAGCAACATATAGCAACATAATATGTCGGGAGACTTCTATAGAAGTATATATAGGGTTCTTTCCTCACACCCCAACATCATCCTCCTTTATACCTGAGCTACAACCTACTCAGGGCCTAGACCCAACACATATAGGCACACACACACACCACTCACACGGACAAGAATTCGACACGCCTCAAGACACCAAAGGCTCAATTTGCATGAATGAGGTTCCACTAAGCTTCCCCTTCCAGCACTTCCAGGACTTGGCTTCAAACCCTCCAACAACATCCCAAAGGCCTGGAAACCCAACGTCGCCCCAAACAACGCTGCCCCAAACCACCTCCGACCTCTGACCTCCGTCTGTCCGTCCAAGGAAGTCCCTGCGAGACTCGTTGACCACGGGCGCGCGGAAGAACACCAAGCGCTTGTGGCTCATGCACCCCTTCGTGGACCTCTCAGATGCCTTGCCGCTCAAGGCGGAAGTCGTCACCCTGTGCTTTCTCGGTGCGGATGATGGCTGGCCGTGCTGATGGCGGGCGGGGAAAAGCGTTGACACAAAGAAACCGTCCTCCCATGTGTGCCAGGTGTCCAACTCCATGCCTTTGCTTGGGGGGTTGAGTGGTCTCATGTCCTTTTGGCAGCATTTTCGCGCCCCAAACGCCCCCCTTTTTCACGTGTTATCACCTCCCCACGCGTGCGCCTCCCCGAGTTCGTCGCCGGTTTCGACGGACACGACGCGGACCGCGCCACCCGCGAGGCGCACCTCGACGTGGAGATCTCGGCCAAGGTGGCGGCCTCGTCGCTGCTGCCGCGGACCTGCGTGTCGCCGGAGCTGCAGGGGCGAGGCTCCACGGTGAACCTCTTCACCTCGCATAAGGCCCGGAGTAGGTGGATGGCCTGGATTGGGGGCCGGGTGGGAGTGGGGGAGGAGGAGAATTAAGGGGGCGTGATGGAAAAGAAACGGGGCGTGATAGATGGAAGATGATGGAAGTGAATATGAACATTGTCGTGAATTGCTGGGTGTTTGGTAGGAGATGAGAAAGGAATGGCGCATAACTAATGAAGCAGTTGCCGAAAAGCCGTCGTTAAAGGGGCAAATTATGAGATGGCCAGATAGGCTAGGTGAAATCTGTCTAACTAGCACTCCTTCCTTTCCGAAAGATAGCACAGAACACTGCTTGAGACCACCAAGGCAGTGGTTTTGAATTGGTTGTTGGAACTGTGCCAGAACCGTTCTCCGAGGCATCGACTCTGAAGCGCCCAGCTTCAGCTTCGCTTCGTGTAGGTCCGGTGAGTCCGCATCTCACCGCAGGGCATACACCGTTGACCATCGAAGAATCTGCGACAAGAGACGTTGTCCATCCAGTTAACGTGTGGGGATCGTCCAACGGCGCCTGGCTTGTGGTTTTGTTTTGTTTTTTTCCTCAGGCCGCCTGGCTGGACGCCGCCAGTGCCTTGAGGACTCCTTTTGGGTCCGTCGTCCAAGGGGCAAAGGTCCGCGGGGTTTGTCGCTGGGAAGTGGGTTTGGGCCCAGGGAGACCTTTGAGAAACTCCCAAGAATCACCACTTCCCTTGGCTTTCGGATGGTTTTCGGACCTTGCCGCCCCGCGTGCTGACTAGGAGCCCTTGGCTTGCAAGGACATGAGTTCCTTTTCCGGACAGTAAGACTTGGGATGTCGACACTCAACATCAATAAATAGACCACAGCCTTCTCCCTCGCTTCACCCTGCTGGAAACACCGTGCCTGACCGTGACGATCACCTAGTGACGCACTGAGCGTCACTCCGCGCCACATGCGCCGCGCGGGAGGAACATGAGCGTTCCAAGCATGGTCGAGCTGAAGATCCGTGAGCTCATCTTCCCCAGCGACGATCCTCCTGAGGCGCGAAGCTGCTGAACAGCTTCGCTGCTGCCGCTGGATTCTTTGGGGGGTTTTCTCCGCACTGAATAGCTCTTATATAAGGCATTGGATGGTGTGTGCCGGACGTTTTGGGGGTCCATTTGGGTTTTTTGATGGTTTTGGACCAGAGACAGACCGGGCCGGACCGACCGGAGCGGTTTTGCGATTTCGGAAGTGGCGGGACGGCTCGACGTCTCACGGTCCCAGTGACCTTTGGAGATCCCAGAATTGACCAATCCGTTTGGGAGTCAAAGACTATTAAAAGAATGGTCTTTAGGGGACCTGAAAGGGAACTTCCTTTACTTCAGCCGGTCAAAAAAAAGTCTTTGGACTTCTAGGGAATCCGTTTGGGGTGTCTATGTATAGGCCCCCCAACAGCTGTGATTCGCAATCTCCATGTTCACCACCCAACTCCGGTCCTGGTATGATCTGGTACGTCAATCTGGCGAAGTTCTTTTTTGGGGTGCGGGGGGGGGGGCCTTCACATCTGTGGTCTCCTTATCCGGCGTTTGTGGTGTGTTTTCATTGATTTCCTCATGATCTCATGGGCATAGCCGGCATAGAACACCTCCCTCCCGCCGTTAGGATGCGCGGCTCTACAAGTACTTCATTGAAGCCAAGTGCAACGGCGTCCGGAGCAGTTCACCCTCGCTCTGTCGACCGAAGAGGGCTTGGAGTTACCTGGTGCCTTGGACAATTCGGGGCTTTGAAAGGCATGGGGCTGGGGGCCTGGGGGCCAGGAGTGTCCAGTCATACCGAACCTGAGGAGGTCCGACTGGAATGTCTAGGGTAGTGGTCTCCAAATAGACCATGGCACGGCTTCCAATGCATTCTGAGTGAGGATCTACTTGACTTCTATCTATGACAGGGGGGTCTATATACACACTCCCCGGACATCACGCCTCGATCGTTGGGCATGAAACATGGTCATCCGAACATCCGAACTCGAGGCCGTCCACGTATATCTGCGCCAAGCATGATGAGTCCACCAGCACCCTCCAACAGGTCTCCTTTGGAGGCTTTTGCTGACTTAAAAGTCGCAGGTGGTGACCTGTTGGAGGGTGCTGGCAGGGAGTATATAGCTAGCTCTTTCAGATGATGGCGATGACATGCGATGACTCTGCGCGAGCTAGGGGGCCAAGCAAGTCCGACTTCAACGATGGAACATGTTTCAGCGTTTTTTTGAGGGGGGTTCCTGATCGCTTCGTGCAATCTCTATTGTTCTTTTCTGTTTGCTAGGGCCCCTTCCCAAGTTTTCCCCATCGGTCGCCCCCTTCGATCGCCCCTTACTCCTCCGATCCACCGATCCACCGATCCACACGTCCACTCGGCCACCGAGCGGACGAAGCTAGCAGGTGCCCTGCGATAGCAGCAAGATCGACTTCAAGGCGCGCGCGCAGGGCTTTGGGAGCGCGAAAAGCGGCGCGTTTGGCGGCACGGCACGGTTGCTCACCACGGTGAGCTGTGGAAAAAGCAGCGGAAGGTGCTGATGGGCCGTGCTGATGGGCGATATTTTGTGCACTTTTCCGTGCCCGTGGGAGGATACCATGAGACGTGATGAGAACTGAATAGGGGGAATAGGGGTAGGATGGAGAATCTATTGGTAGATAGACCTGCAAGCTTGGGAGCTGAACTCCTTGGATATCTGCGATGATATACTGCTCTTCACCGGCTTGTTGTCTACAACGACGTCTTCAACGCGGCGCAGTCGCATGTTCGGGTTGACGCATGGGCTGCTGGAGGGGGGTGACATCCCTCCAGCCGAAGAGGACCAATCCATCAATTTGCAAACCAGGAATCATGGAAGTGGAAAACTGTCCCCTGCCAGCACCACCCAAAGGGTGGTTTATAGACCCCCCTGCCCTGACCATCTATTTTCCATTATGTGCCATCTAATAACAACCCTTTGGGTGGTGCTGGTGGAAGACTATACTTACTACTTTCATCATCTTTCCTTTGCACCGTTTGGAACTTCCATGTTTCTGGCCTCGTCGGAGTGGAAGCTCGCTCGCTCGCTCGCTCGCTAGTGATGGCTGAGCAACGGAAGATTGAGCTGACCTGACCCTTCCCCAGGCCCTTCGCTTTTGGTTCCGCTCACTCCACCCAGCTCCCCCCCTCTTAGCCGTTAAGCCAGCGGAACCGCACCTCACCCCTTCAACCCCTCCGCCCAGGCGCCCCCACCCGTGTTTGGCACCGACACGGCGTGCCGGAACCCGCCCCCACCCGCCCGAACCCGCCACCTCCGCCACTGCGCCGGGTTCGGTCGCCGAACCCATGAGGCGTGCAGCATCTTCTTGCCGCTGCCGCCGGGCTGCTGGGGCGACGACGCGCCCACGGTGGAGGTGAAGGTGCTGAAGGCGATGGTCACGGAGCTGCCCACGGTGAACTACCAGGAGATCCGGGCGAACGAGACACCGGGGAGAGCTTTTGGAGGCTAACCTTGGGGGTTGTAGGTCTTTTTGACGTTGTTCCTGGAAAACTGGCGAGGTGAGGTTGGTAACTAGTTGAGGTGGTTGTGGGCTTGTGTTCTTTTTCTGTGTTTTGATGTTGCTTTTGGCCTTTGCGGTCCACAAGGTTGCAGTTTTGCGCTTTTGCAGCTGCTGCGATGTGTTATTTCTGGTCCATGGGGCTCCAAGTACCATCTGAGAAGGTGTTTGGGGGTGGGTTTGGGGTGTCCAGTCATGCCTTCTGAGGAGGTGCTTGGAGCACTAGGGTTCTGATTTTTCATGCCGCGCTTGGAAGGAGTTGCTGGCAAACAACGGTGACTTGGGATGCAGAAGCGTTCTGTGCACAGGCTCTACAGCCAGATGTTGCCTGCTCAACTGGGGTTCACAGACCAGTTATAACCGATATGCATATAACTTGTCCACTATCTTTGAACCCCAGTATGGCTCATAACTCAAGTCATAACTCAAGATCCGTGTAGGCATCTCCCATCCCCACCGATCTCCCATCCCTTCGCCAACACGGACGCGCTCTTCTAGGCAAGACCGGTCCTTCAAACCACGCACCGGAGCTGGTGTACCACGCGGAGCTCTCCTTGGAAGCGATGGCCGTGGACTTCTCGAGGAGGGGGGCGATGTGGACGAAAGCTGTGGCTGGTCGGCTGGTCGTTGAGGACTAGGTCGGATGAAGTGGGTCATCTTCGATTCCCTCCTTCTTTTTTTGGGGGGTATTCATCTATAGACCAGTGGGAATGGAAGATGACGCATTCCATTACCCTTTTTATTTTGGAATCGGCTGGTCTAGAGAGGTCTAAAGAGTCCAGAGCATGGGGTACTGGTTTCCCGACCCAGAGCGAGAGGTCAAACCAGACGCACTTGACGAACGGGTCAGCACCCTACCAGCTCCTCAAGTCTCCATGTCGGCCACCAGATCAGACCTGCCCAAAGAATCATTGGACCCTCCGAACTGGAGGGTTTTGACCCTGCATAGCAGGGGTTTGGACCCTCAAAACCTTCACCTTCGAGGGTCCTTGATTCTTAGGGTGGTTTAGTTGGGTGCTGGGGTCCGGTTCCAAGTCATGTTCCAAGTCATGTTCCATCACACTCGCATCCTCACTGCCAAGTCTCCTCGTTCAAGGGACCCGGGTCCTAACAGGGCTTCGATTGGTGACCTGTTTATTAAGGGTTTGCTGATGCAAGGCAAGTTATTCTTTAATTCCCATCCTTAATCATTGGAGGCCCTCCATTTTGGTGTCCGAAATCCTGGGTGTCGTTGATTGTTTCCTTCCCCCCCGTCCAAGACTTGTCTAAGGAGGTCCGGTCCGACTGGAGCCCTAGGGGCCCATGGTTCGAACATCCACAACGCCTGACCCTCCAACAGAGGTTGAAGGACCCGAACTAGCCTATCCCAGTTCGGTACCCCAGTAAGGTCCTAGTTCAGGTCACTGGCTACCTCTCTTGGCTTATTCCAACGATCCAACCGAAATCCGTCATGGGAATTCCCCCAGCGGCCAGGAAGTCCGCCAGTGTGCCCTTTGCGAAGTCCAGGGTGCGCTGATCCGGTTTTCCGTGTTGAGCGGCTGTGTGGCCGCCACGCTCGCCGGGAGGAAGAAAGAATGCACAGAGCCAGAGTCCAGTCTGACCCAGTAAAACCTGGACCTGAACACCTCTGTCAGAGGATATTTTTTGGCAAGACCCACTCCAGCAACATGTTGAAACACCGTCGAGCCGTTGATCTTGGGTGGCTTTGAAGTCTACATAAATTGTTGCTAGATGTTGCTAGGACGGCCAGATGTATCAATACTTGACTGACTGCCCTCCCATGTTTCCCGATTCTTCACCCGGCGTAGAGAGAGAGAGAGAGAGAGAGACTGAGAGAGATTGGTTGAATATGGTTGAATCGAACTCTTACCAGGACCTTCCGTTCGAAGGTGTCTATCAATAGCCTCTTCGAGGTGATGCGGGGTGTCCAAAAAACCGGACTTAGAGTGGGTCCTGGAATAGATTCCTTAGATACCTACAGGCCTACCGAAGCAGACGGAGACGCTGAAGATGGACCTTGTTCGCTCCCCCAAGAGCGACTGTGAAATACAGTTCCTTTGCGGAAAACTGCCCACGAGACGTGTCTAGACGACCTAGTTGAAAGACGGCTCTTCAAACATCTACAAAAGACCACGGCACGTCGTGTCAAATGAAGGTGGGAATCGCCCACCCACTCATTTCGAAGCACCGCGACTTCCGTTCCGCAAAAAAGGCGAAGGCCACCACCTACAACGTGGCGAAGGCCGCAACGCGACACTTCGACCGTGGTGGGTCGTTTGGGGGTGTCGTATCAGACGATGGGCCAGGAGCCCAGGGATATGACCTACATGCGACCCAAAACCACCAGTCTTGTCGGCCGTAGAACTGCGCTACCACGGATCGCCTGGGAAAGGTTCTGGCCCTGGGTTTGACTCTCTATTCATCAGTCAGCAGGACTTGTTCAATCTTGTTCATGTTTCACGTGAGCCCCTTGCACAAGCACGATTCAATGAACTAGACTTTGAGTTGCTCTATTTTTGGTTAACTTGCTACAGGGTGTATTGAAAGACCTCATTCCCAAATGCCCCGTCGCCGGCAGTCGGCCAAGCTCAGCTGGTTCGGACCAGCATGTCGGACATGTCCAGAGAGTCCAAGCGATCCATGGTGACGTAAAGATATGATCCATGAAAAACCACCCCAAACCACCAGTCATGGCCATCCCTGGATTTTGGTGATCCTGCCTTGGGTTGGGGATGGCGCCAGGACGAACTGAGTCCGGTGGAGGCTCCTGCGGTGGTCGTCATGGACATCGCCCTGCGGGATAGGACCTTTGCCCGGCTCAAGCAGGCAGAGGAGCGGGAGAGAAAGCAACTGCTTGCTGCGAAAGCAGCGCTTTGGTGGGGAGTGAGGAGGTTTGGCAACCCATGAGCCATCATGAGCCTATGAGCTGCGGTTTGGAAGATTTGGGGGGAGGATTTGCGGAGTCATATCAGCTCAGCAGTCATAGTTTCAGCTAGCCCAGGGTTCGGACTGCGAGAGCTTTGGTGAGCTTGAGTCTGAGCAGTCACTGAGCAGTATCTAGGATCACTTAGGATCCAATGACTTCCTTCGTTGGACCCGGAATCTTCCACTCTTTCTTAGGCCTCCCTTGACACCTGGAACCTCCGGATCTTTCCGCCACGCAGCTCCTCCAACCCAACTGCCGCTTGCTTGCTTCAGTTCCACCCAGTTCTCGGTGCGCAGTTCCTCCGGCCCCTCCAGGACGCCAGCCGCGCGGGGGTCGTCAGCGTGGGGGACAAGGCGATGCTGCGCGTGGAGGAGCCGCTGGCCTATCCGCTGAACGAGGCAAAGCACGGCGGATCGGGTTGCATGCGCGGGACGGTGGTCCGTGGCGGACGTGGCCGGACGGTGGCGGACGGTGGGGAGGGTTTGGGTGTGCATTTGGGGATGGGGATGGATGGTGGTGGTTTTGGGACCAACTTTAGGGGGGCGGAAACAAGATGGCACGCGGAAAGAGAGAGCTGGATTCTAAAGAGTCGCTTTAAACCACACGAGGTCGACCTTTTGGCATTCGATGGTTCTCAGTGGTGCTCACCATGGCAGTCGAATGAAACCCTTCACCCTGAAAATGTAGACTGATGGATGTTTGGTGTACTAAGTGTACTAGCCCAACGTTTTGGATGATTGTTCTTGCCAATTGTTTATCATGCTGTACGTGAACCCCCTTAGTGAGGGAATGGGACCTGCATATCCCAGACGTTCCACGGGACTGGCATATTTACTACCTTGGGGTGGTTGAAGTCGGGGTCAATGTAGGCACATATATTATACCATACCCAAACACTCCACATTTGGCCATAGACAAATATAGGCACATGGAGTGTCTGGGATACATGGAGTCTTTGGCTCCTCAGCTCCCGGACGACCCTGCTTTTCCCCCCCGCGCAAGGTCGAGTACCGGCGCCGCGGCTTCCCTGGAGAGCCACTGGGTCAGTGCGAGCTGGGGATTTGGAGGGCCCAAGCTAAGAGCGAAAGGAACCGAATAGCTTCTTGCTCCGTTCGTAGCGATGCCAGGAGCCCCCCTAGTAGCGTCCTTATTACTATAGTAGCGATGCCCTTTGCTCCTAGCAGCGCTAGGAACATAGCGATGGCCTCCAACCTACGAAGCCGGTTGTTAAGAGACCACCAGCCCAAGACAGCCCCGGCCCGCCACAGTGTGCATGTCAGACCAGAAGCTCTCTTCGTGGCAGCCATCCGATCTACCCCTGGAGAAGATTTGACAGACATCCGAGCACCACTTCCAACCCTTTGGTCTTTTCCCAGTCGCTGCATCCGTCACCGGCCGCCGCGTCACCTCTCGCCCCAACCTCCCGCACGTCCCCGAGGTTCCAGCCCGGTCGCCGGCGTGGAGACTTCTGGGCGGCGCCCTTAAGGGAGCCCAGCGTCTCCTACGAGTACAAGGCACCCGACGCGATGGGACACGGCGGTTGAGGCGCGAGGTTTGCGGAGGCCGGCCGACGTGGGAGATCTTTCCCCGTGACGGCCGAGGCGGTTTGGGGAAATGAGAATTTCATTAGGCCCACTTACCTGGGAGAGGATTCTTTTGAGGTGGGTGGTGCGGTGGGTGGTTCTATATGGTAGGGCTTTTTTGGATGCAGGTCTCGAACGATCTGATGGGTTGGTTGGGGAAGAAACTCCCGCTGTTGAGCACATGGCGAGTACCAGAAAATATATAATTAGGACCCGGCGATCCCTTGAAAACGTTTCCGTTTCGTCTTCACGAAATGAGGCTCGCATTGGGTTCAGCAAGTGCTTCAACACGGTCTTTCTGCAGATCCCTATCTAGTCGGCTCTTCTGCCCCATTGCCATTTCAAAAAACACCACCCGGACCTTCCCAACAAAACCTGGATGTCACGTTATTCATGCCGTCGTTTTTCCCGGAGGATGATTTTAGCCCGACGTACCTCCAGTCTGACCCAGTAAAACCTGGTCCTGAAAAGCTCCTTGACGATCCTTGACGAGTGTTTGGGGAGGACCAACTTCAGTCAAATCTGGTCAAACTGACCTGTCTAGGCTTGGTCCTTCTTCGGAACCTTGGAGAAACCTTCCCACCTGGCCGTCTTGATCGTCTCGTTGGCCGCTGGATTCCTCGTGAGGCCAGCGGCTTGGACCAGATGGACCCTCCCTATCCGTTCAAGCCACTTGGGCAGCCGAACAGGTGCACGGGACAACAACGATGGGGATGTGCGAGCTCGTTCGGCGGTGGGTGGGCTCCAGATTTCAGCGAAGTCTTCTCTCATGACGTCGATCATGGATACAGTTCATGGATCCCAACAAAGTACTGCGACATAGTCTGCGACGCGATGAAACCCAAACACTCCATGGGACTGCCCAATTTGGCTGAAACCAAGAAGCTGGTTGGGGATATTGCGGGTGGGGGTTCTATAGGGGGGGGGTTGGCACACCTTCTTGAGAAACTCGTGGGTCGCAGACCGCGGCGAACAGCGGCCAAGGCAACGCTACATGTCCAACAGTCACGACGACGTGGTGCCCCACAAGTTCGTCCTGCCAGCGGCAGAGGCGGAGTTCGTGTCACAGGTGAAGCCAGGCGCGCGGACCTCCGCATGTGGGTGGACCGTGGCGGTGGTGTGACACCGTGGCGTTCGGAGGGACAATGGAGTGAGATACACCTGCAGAAGATCAATCTGGAACCTGAAAAGGAACCTTTGAAAGCATTTGACTAGCCCTAGGGATCCAAGTACCTGCTACTGCAGGTACTTGGATCCTCCTGGCACCCACCCCAGACACCTTCTCAGAGGGTATGACTGGATCCTTAGGGTACGGTATAGGTGACTTTCCTTTATTCACCCGTGGCTTGGCTCCGAAGCCGACCTCTTTGGGGCGTACCGATGCCTCAAGGGGTACCGAGGCGCGGCGCGTTTGGGAGGTCCAGGTCCGAATCTCAAGACACGACCAATGGAACTACATATGCCGCCCCATTGACCCCGACTTCAACCACCGGCCTGATCGGCATTTTTGTGGGCGTAATTAGGTATATAGGAGTGGAATGGTTGGCACCTTTGGAACGGAAGCCTCGGCATATCCCGGCATTCTGGTTGGTCCTAGTTTGGGGCGGCAACTTCCCAAATCAGAGGCAACTCCATGGCCCCCCCTGGTTCGCCGCCGTTGGCTTCCACTCTTTTCCTTAAAGAGCACCCAGCTCTGCCAGGACCTGTTTTTGGACACCGCGAATCACCTCTAAGAGCCTATCTATTAGACACCTCACACCGCCCAGAAATACGACTTCTTCTCAGACGATGGCGATTTTGAAGGAAAACAGCCCCCACTTCGTAGCGCCATCGGCATCGCCAGGGAGCTATCATCGCATCATGGACATGCTCGTGGCCGAGAAGGGCCCCGAGTTGCAGAAACAGCAGAGTGGCGAGACGGAGAAGAAGCGCCTTGGCGGTCGTTCGCAGCGGCCACCTCGTTTTGGAGGGGGGTTTTGCAGCGACCGTGGACCGCGGAAGACCGCATGGCGGTGGGCGGGTGGGTAAGGAAGGGGCTGTGGATGGCTCCACCAGCTGCGCAAAAGCAGGGCAGATAACTGGCAAAACCGATGATGGCCAATGACATGTTTTGTGGGAACGAGCCATCAAGCAAACCTAGGTGCTTTGACTGGGAGGGGTTGATAGCTTGGGCTGGATGGTGATTTCCACCACTCCTCCCCTTCTCCTACTCAGTGGACAACCTGTAGCCTTTTTTGGGGGGATCGGGGGCACCCCAACAGATATGGAGCAAAGCTTAACCCTGATACTCCAGGGAAACAACTTTGGGATTAGTTAGAGACTCTAATTACTGCCTGTCATTTCTTTCTCTGCCACTGGTTGGCAGGTATTCAACGATCGTGGTGGATAAGCTGTCGCATTTAATCCGCCACATCCCGGTGACGGTGCTGGCTGTCTACCCAGATCAATCTTGTGCCCTGGATGGAGTTTGGAGCGTATGCGAGTGTTTGTTTCTGGGGTGGGAGCATGGAGAGCTAAAGAGCACGGGCCGAGATGATTCAGAGCAGTACATGAACCTTGCCCGGTAGAACCAGATCGAGTTCGCTGTGTGCTTTTTTGGAGATACCCTGCTGATCACTCTGAAAACCACTGGTGCAGCGTTCGAGGAAAGCAATCGGACGACACGGGCCCCATGGGATCGTTGTCGGGAGGTAATGCTCTTGCCTTCCTCGCATGGCACGATCTCAGGGTGATCATGTGCCCTACATTGACCCCCCAGACCCACCCCAAACCACCCCAAAGATGGCAGTCCCATGGGTCGTGTCTGGGATTGTTTTACCCAAAGAATCATTGGACCCCCCTCTGGAGGGTTTTGACCCTGCATAGCAGGGGTTTGGACCCTCAAAACCTTCACCTTTGAGGGTCCTTGATTCTTAGGGTATAATGTTTTATATAATTGAACCGCCCAACGATGACGTGAACCAGCTGTAGGGGACTCTACAAGGTGGCCACGGTGCTGGACGTATGCGGACTTTTGCCAGAACCTGTCATCCAAGGAACCCCTGTACCTCCATATCAATCAATAGTCTTTTTGCTAAGGCGGTTATACCACCGGACTTGGATGGTCCTGGTATCGAATATTCACCTACATCGACCCCTCAAACATCTTAATATCACAACTAATGTGTAGGTGGCTGTAGTGTGATCCACTGGTACCAGATTGAGAGAGGTACAAGTGTCACATCTACCATGAGACCCCGAAATCCGCCCCGGGGCGCAGAAACGAGGCACTCAGGAGTGTTTGTTCAGCACACCGATGTCGAGACACCACATACTTCTCCACCCCGAGTGGAGTGGGACAAGGCCAGCCCCCCCCCCCTGCACGAGGAACAGGCCCCGGTGCGGGCAGTCCCGCGGCTCGCGGACCTGGCGCGGGAGCGGCACTTGAGGCGACGTGGAGTTGGCTTCGAACTTCATCGCCGCATGGGAGAACATACCCCACAAGCCCTATGCCTTGCAAGGCGGCAGACGGGCGGAGAACCATCGCGGAGTCTGGAGTCTTTGGATTTTTTTTTTCGGCCAGGGGGACAAGTGGGGACATGCGGACATGGAATCTTTGAAAAGAATTGTGGGGGGAACGTGAAGAATGATAAGGATGAAGGTGAAGTCATAATTTATGATCAAATGACATGGCATGTCCAGAAACAGCTTCCATAATAAGCAATCTACTTCATTGCTTTGGGTGGCAGATCATTGATGAAAACGGCCGAAGCCGATGCTGATGGGCTGTTCATCTGGATCATGACCCGGGACAAGAAGTCCCTTAAAATACCTTCCCTCCAACAATAATGGAAGCTGACCAGGACCCCCTTGTAGAGGAAAAGGGTCTGCCACGGGCCTATGTGTGCAGCCGTGAGGGTTGAGGTTTGCTCCAGTGGATCGTTGCCAAAGCCGAATTCCGCCGTCGCCCGGAAGAGTGTAACGATCCAGCCTGGCTCAGGATGTGCTCCAAGAAGCAAACACCAGGGGGCATGATCCAGCAAAACCTAGAAGATAATTCTATGTTGCATGCAAGGGATTCATGATCATCTCGTATCATGAGTATACGCCCTCTCTTTTGTTCAATCACCTGACTGGTGCCGTACCGAACCACCAGGCTCCGTGGTGGTGGGCGAGCACATGGACATCAGCGAGATGGCCATCCGCTCCGCGCCCGTGGGCGCGGGCGATGTGGGGGAGCGCAAGCGGCGCCGGGTCTTGCTGAAGGGCGTGCCACTGCAGGTGGTGCAGAGCGTGCAACCCGTGGACTGGATGTGAATTCAGGTCGGTCGGGAGGTGGGTGGAACAGCTTCGATGGAGCAGCGCTTGGTGGCTGCCGGGCACTGGGTCCAATGGTTTTGATCCTTTTGGATGGAGGTTGTTCAAAGCCACCAGGTTCATCCAGGTTCACACGCTTGAAGTTGCCAGGCAAATGTTGGTGTTTCCTCTTTTTGTGGGGGCGGGCACATCTGAGGCGAGCTTCAACATCTACGATGCGGCCATTACGAGCCTTGGACAGCAATTTGGCGTGGCCTTTGAACCACAAAGAGCACGCTGTTCTGGGGCCCAAAGGGAGATCAACTCAGGTCAGGCTCTCATTTGCCCAACCTCTTTGCAGCTATGATGTTCATGGGAAGGCATATATCTGAGTGGTTCAGTGTGGTGATATCATCCCCAAGACGGAGAACACCTTCCTTGCAACCTGGTAGTTTGTGGCCGCCTATAGCATAGACCTAGCATCCCCAACTCACCAAGGGACTACTGTACCTGGTGACTACCCAACACTACAGAGACCTCCCAGGACCTTCAAAGTCTGAGATGCCAACACAAGACCTGTAAAAGGCCGATTGAGACTCCAAGAGGGTTGAAAGGCGTGGTCCATGTTGTTGACTGCTGATGCGTCAACCAACCTGCCCCATGTCACTTGGAGATGGTTGAACATCCAGCTGACCCTCCAGCCCAAGCAGCTGAAGGGGATATTGACATCAACAGTCAATGTTTGAAGGGATGAATGAGGGTCCAAATCATGACACCCTGAATTCCACTCACAATTTGCTTTGTGCTTTGAATGTGGATCTCTTCAAATACATCAATGACCATCAACATTGAGCGACATTGAGAGTGTAAGCCCCTGGACTCTCCTTCACAAGCACTCCTCCTTCACCCAAGAGTTCCAGCACCCCTTGCCCAAATACATCAATGACTGTCAACATTGAGGGTGTGAGCCCCTGGGACTCACCTCAGTTCCTGCACCCCTCCTCCAGCCCACCGCCCCAGCGCCCCACCGCCCGAGGACCACGGATGAGATCGTGCGCATTGACCCGAGGAAGATCGGCAACGACTACAACCCGCGGCTCATCGACGGCACCGTGGACGACGCTTGGACCGGCACCCGGGTTCCGCGTTTTCGGGTGGAAGGGCCGTGGGAATCGTCGGTGGAAAAAGCGTGTTCTTGGACTCTCCGAGCTGCTCCGAGCTGCAAGCTGGAGAGCTGCAGTTGGGAGCTTAGGAAATCGGTGCAACTGTTATTATATATGATACATACTGTATTAATTATTATAAGATGTATGTTAGAATGATGAAAACTAAGACATTGATCGATATTGTAAGTATATAACTATTGCAGGGACGCAAGGACGGAAGGACCCATGGAGCCATTGAACTCTCCAACCGTTTTTGTTGGTTGTCGGAACTCTCTTTCTTTCGGCGCAGGTTCACCTGATGGCATAGCTGGGACGCTCTGTGCTATCAGGCCTATCAGAGCTTAAGCACCTCCTACACCTTGCCCACCTCTACACCTCTATCTCTGCTGACAGAGACCTTCCGCCCCCCAAGGACATGTCCGTGCTGGGCGGCCATCGTGGCAGCTACCGCATCGCCGCCGGGCCGCTGCCGCCGGATGCCAATCCCACCGATTGTCAGTACGACGCCCGGCCGGTCGAACGGGAGGCGTGTTGCGCGGCGGGGGGAGAGCGGACCCTCAGGGATCCAGAGGTTGAAGGACCCGAACTAGACTATCCCAGTTCGGTACCCCAGTAGGGTCCTAGTTCAGGTCACTCAACCTCTCTTGGCAGGGATCCGCGAGTCCGCGCACCTGAGAAGGCCATTGGAGACCATTTTGGGTGCCAGGAGTAGGTGAGTAGGTCCTCGATCCGTATACGGGTGGTGTTGTGCCATTGGTTTGGGCCACCGGAGAAGTAACTAGTTAGCAAGCTTCGGGGCATGATTTGGCACCGTCCAGCCAGCTTCATTTGGAAGGGTGTATGGGGATGGGTCCAAACTCCCAGGTTGGTCAAGCAAGGTATCCGGGTTTTGACCCGTACATACCCGTACCATCTCCTGGTTTCGAAATAGCGGTTTCTTATATCCTTTGGTCTGGCCGCCATCTACCAATTACGCTTAAAGGGGATATCAACGGTCAAGCATTGGAATTTATTGATCCCAAAGTTCAACTCCTCCCCGGGAACGGTCTTGGGGAGCAGTGTCAGAATCCTTTCGATTGACCGTGAAACATTTGGCAAAGAGAAATGCATACCTGACATACCCGAAATCAGGCTCTAAAAGTCGATTGTTTAGCTAGGTTTTGTACCCCAGTTGACCAAAGTTGCCAAATCCACGTGACACACATGCCGTTATTCGCAAGACACTAGACGAGAATGGGGGCAACTCACCTTACCACTCAGATATCCTTCTTACGGAACTTCCAGATTTACCACAACGCCCTTGGGCTTGGCCGGAAGTTTCGCATTCCAAAAGTGCATCGTTCATCAGACATGTTCGCTATGCCATTTCGAGAAGAATCTTGACACCATCCCGGATCCGGACGCGGGTACCTGAACTAGATACCTACCCAAGAGTATAATTAGGAATTCACTCTTTTTCGTTGGAGCCGAGTGCCGATTCGCCCTGCAGAGACGGTATAGTACACTGTAGTGTTACATCTGATGGGAGAGGCGAAAAAAGGGCTATTCAACCTCTCGGATGTTCGCACCTCCCTGTCCCCCCAAGCATCCTGACTTGCACGGCTTGACGTAGCTTGAGACCGGTGTGGTCAAAACCGGGGTCGTAGAGTACCCATAATAACTCCCAAATCACCGCCCAAGCATCATAATTGTAGACTCTTAGATGAATAAATCCACCCCATTTGGATTTGGACGCACAAAACATCTTCTGCCTGGGACGCGCTCCAGAAGGAATCTCTGAGCCGATCCGTGACAACCCTGCCGGTCCAAAGGACCGGGTACACGTGGTCGGTGACGTGCATGCGTAGACCCATGGGAGTCAAAGACTATAAAAAGTCCTTGGGTGACACGAAAAGATACGAAAAGGAATGTCCTTTACTTCAGTCGGTCAAAGTATAGTCTTTGGACTTCTAGGGTAGAGCTAGTCTACATGACGTTTCCAGCAGAGAGGGAGCATTCCCGTGAAACCGAACTGCTAACGGTTAGGCGAAGTACTCGTTCAGGTCTCTCAAACATGGGACAGCACACCAGTCCGTTGGGCCTGAGACCTCGAGCCCCACGTGGGTGACGCGAACCGAACGAGCCGAGACGCGCGATCCGCGAGCCGCGAGCCGCCAGTCGCTCCGAGGAGTGGTCCTTGCGGCTGAACGCGGAGAATGAAGCGGACATGTACCACTTTGTGACCATGCTCCGGCAGGCTTCGCGCATGGATATCTTCGAACAGCTGAAGAAGCTCAAGGACGCGCCGGACGGACGCGAAGATAGGCAGTTGGAAGATTGGATGCCTGAGCACCAGAATGGCTCCCCCACCCCCGCACCAACAAAGGGCCCTTGGGCCTAGCTGATCAAGAATGACCCAAGCTTTGAACTGGCAGACGGTGCTAAACATGATTTAAATATTAGTTACAGACATCCATGTTCCAATTTTAGGGCGTATGTGCTCCCTATCGCAAGAAATCACACAGCTTTGGAACCATCGGGCCATCTCCAAGACGGGTCTTTGGAAGGCCAGCCCGCGAGGCGAGTCCTTCAAACACCTCGAAGTGTTCACCTCTCCGGAAATGCGTTCGACCTGCATGTTCGCCGCGCCAGGAGTTCAAGCAGAAGAGCGTCTATGCCCATAACAACCGTCCCTACCTGGACTCTCAGATCTACTCCTCACAATCTGGACATTTGGAGGCCGAATCTGCGAGCGAAAACCGGATTACCCGGTGTATACGCTACACCTCTGGGTTGCTTTTGGCGTTTTGGTGCGTTGCTCCACTGCTTGGGAGTTGGAGATTGTTGGGGTCGGTTGAGATGGTGGTCGCTCTTGTTTCTGAGGCCAGGGCCCTCAGGTGCAGATGTTGAGAGTCACTTCCAACCATCAGTCAAGCGTTCTTTTGTTGTCATTAACACATATGAACACTAGAATGGAGCGTGTGGTGCTGACAACGTGAGAACAATTTGGTGTGGCAACATCACTCCAGCTGAATAATCCTGTAGGACTTGGGAGATCAAGGAGTTATTCAACATTCAACTTTTTCGATTATGTGCGTGGCGTTGTATTAATTTTTAGCGCCACGGGCAAACCACTTCCGAAATGATGTGTGTTTTTTCCCTTTAACGTAAGTGTAGACATGGCTAGCTGCACCCCACCCCACCACCTGGCAGCTTCCAGGGTGGTTCGACGATACCCTGGCCATTCGCTGACGCGCTAGGTCATCCTGGTGGAGGCCAAGCACCTTCGCCCGACCCGCGTGCAGCAAGAGTGGCCTGGACCGCACCGAGCACGCGGGCGGCGGAACACCGGAGAATTGCCGTTTCATTTGTGCCATGATGGACAGACGCTCCAAGACGGACACGCTTGTTGAATTTAGATGCGGTGTTTGCATTTGTTGGTGCCTTCTCAACTTGTTCAGACGTTGATTTTCCCCTCGACTCAGACCCTCAGACTCAGACGTCCCACGGAGCAAGAACAAGTGCACATGCTGCTGGTCTAGTTTTGTCGAATCACTGAAGGATCAAACTGGTCAGAAGGGGGTCCATGGACCGTGCTTGGACTGTGCGGACCTTGAAGGATGTTGACCACGGGTTTGTGACCACACATCTCTTAAGCCAGCAATGTAGTTAAGCTATGTTAAGTTCGGAATCTCTTTTTGACTCATGACCCATGGAATGCTGGCATGTTGGAACTGAAGAAATCGAGGTTGAATCAGGCAGGCTTCCTAGTTGGGCCCTAGACTTCCTTGACATTCTATTCACCTTCCAAGCAGCAGTCGAACGAGAACACAACTCCAGCAACCTTTGCAGACCTCCGGAGTTCCCATCCCAGGCAAGATCTGCAGACGGCCTTGTCCAAGAGTCTCCAGCTGGATTTACAGGTCGAGGCCCGAATCGAAGTCCACAGCAGTGGCGCAGTGGCCGTCCGTCTTCATCGTAGTGTGGTGCGACGGAGCTGGAGGTTCGGCTGGAGGTGTTCCATCGCAGGTGTCTTCCAAACATACCAGCACCTTCAAAGGGGCCACCTGACAGCCCACTACTAAGGGACCTCCAGCCAGGACACCCCTTCTTCAGGTCCAGGTAGTGATATCGGTACGATGACTCCTGGTGGCCATTACTTGGGGGCCGAGTCGCCGTGCGCAGGCGCCGTGCGATCCCCATCCCTGGTTGCACACCCGGTGGAGGTGGAAATGAGACCGGAATCCGATGGCATTGACCAGACTGGACAAATGACCAACCTTCTAATGACCAACCCAAAGTGGTGAACTCAGATTCTATGTGGACCTCTACCTATAGGGTGAGTGTATACACACACTTTTTGTTGCAGAGAAGACTTGCCTCCAAGGATGACATCTTCATCGGCGTTATCCCATGGGTTGGTGAAGTTTTCACGTCCGAGATCTGTCAAAAGAATCATCGAAGAAACAACTTCCTTCAAAAGATTCAAAAACTCAATATTTTGTGGCCTCCTCTGGCCAAGACTTGTGATACTCGCAGCCTCCAGGCCACCTTCCGGTTGAAGAACATCGACGACGAGGGAAAGGCAGGTTGGGTTTGGATTTCTGTTGCATTTGAGGCGGATTGTCGCAATGCGAATGCGACATGATTCTTAATGTTTTCATGACTTGTTCAGCATGTCATGGCATGCTGCTCAGCATCCGCTTCATACCTAGCCCGGGCCCATACTGCCGCTACCCTCTATACTGCAGGCGTATGACATCGTATGACCATCCTGACTTGTGTTAGTCTGTGCGTTGTAAATCACTCCATTTGAGGGGCACTCCTACTACCCCCCACACAATGCACCTGCCATCACCACCCTTCCTCTACAGCGGTTTCAGAGTAGATGTTGTCTGAACCTTCTGCCATCTACTCTATCCACATATATACATCATACATCCCCCTAGCCATTGAGCCACCATAATAAAGGAAAAAACACATCTTTCAGGGTGCCATTCAACCCGGGTCCATGTGAACTTTCTGGAGTGTATTACTCGCTCCCCTCACGAGTTCGCTGGGACGGAGCGGAGGCCAAGGAGTTGATCTACAAAGGCTCCAAGGTCCAGCGCTGCCCTTCGATGACGGGCTCCAACCCCTGTTGGGGCGAGACTGAACAGTTGAAGGGCTCGGGGGGATGGGTCTTCAAGAGCCCACTCCTGGAGAAGGCGCGGCGAACGGCGCGAACTGGCGCGAACTGGCGCGTTTGAACTGTTTGGGGGGAAAGAAGGGGCATCAGTTGAAGTCAGGGATGAAACAGATGAAACGTAGGGAACTATGACAGGTGTCAAGGATGGATGGATTCTATACTCCGACTCCAGCGACTGGATGTTTGTCATCTTCATTTGTCTTTTTATGTGTTTTTTTGGCTACATGCTTCATCATGCTTCTTGAGGCACTATCTTTTGGTGTCAGACATGCCGATGCCGTTCTCTTTTTCCCCCCTCATGGAGGCATTTCTTCCTGGCCGCGTGAAGCCACATACAAGCAATTTCGTTGCGTGCCCCGCTGCCCCGCTGAAGACTGACTAACATGGACACTGAGTCAACGCCGTTTTGCCGGGTCCTTTTGCCGGGTCCTAACATGACCAGACTAGACATCTCTGAACAAGATTCCGATGATTCTTTCCACCATGAAGCATGGCACCGCAGCTTCTCATCACCTCTTTTATGAAAAAAAGCGATTCCTGATTTGCCCTATCTGGGCTGTATATCCTTTTTCCCGCATTGCGACGCAGCAACACCACGGAAGTCGGGGGCATCCGCGTCTCCTCACGGGCGAACTGCAGAACGAGTCTCTCACGGTACGAGGCCATGATGCCGAACTTGTACTTGGAGATCGAGTTGTCGAGCCGGAAGTATGAGAAGTTGGGCATGATCAGGTGCCGATCGCGGATCTTCGGTCAGATGTGAAACGGCCACCGGCCGTGGTGCCTTCTTCTTGTCGATCTTTTTATGGGAGCACAAAGTGACTGATGTTTGATAGGAAGGAAGAGTCTACCCAGCGGGATGTAGCCCCTCTTGACCTATATATATATATGTTTGCCTGCATTTTTAGGCGGTTCAGTTTTAAGCGCCCAACATGTGCACTGGGCCACTTACAATACAGCACACATGGGCACAGGGCGAGCTCGGAGTCGTTCGTCGTACTTGATCCACTGTGATGCCCTTCCACGTGTCACGGATTCTGTATGATTCTGATTGATTCTGTCTTCCGAAAGAGACACCTACACAGAAGACCTGGCCCTTACTGTATATATAAGTATATATGTCTTTACCTTGGGCAGTTGCCCACATTTAGCGCCTGTCCTTGATACTTTTGCTAGACGTTCTGGGCATGCCACATTAGCAAGACATTTGGATCACAGTTCTTCGCTGTCATCAGGATGGCCGTCTTTGGCGCAACCTTCCAAGATGAGTTTCTGGGCCTGAAACCGCCAGCTGCAATCGAGGGGTAGAAACTGGGCGTGGATGGAGCCCCATGCTGACATGTGGGACGCTTCCTACAGCCCATTCCGAGCACCATCCGTTTGAAGACGGGTTGCACCCTACCTGCCAACCCCATCCAACCCCCATTTGCTTCGAGTGATCCGTATAGTGATCAGTTAGTCATGGCTGGTGTCTTGGCAGGGGGGGAAACCCCTACCGTGTTTTGGTCGTACTGCGGTCATGCGGTGGTTGTGTTTTGGGGGCATGTGCATGTCACTGCATGCTGATGGGTGACCTGGGCTCTGTTAGGTTCTTTGGGCTTGGGAGTTGTGGACTGCTTGCTGTGGGGGGTTTCCCTGCAGGGTTGGCATGTCGCTTGCAGGTAGGGCGACCTGGGTTCTGTCAGATCAGCTCTGCTTTTGCAAGTGGACTGCCTGCTGCGGTCCATTGCTTTTTGCTGCAAGTGGTCCCCATTGCCTGTGTTTGCAGGTAGGTTCTGTTCGGTTCACTGGTCTTGGCCAGTGGATTGCTTGCCGTTTGCACTTGTTTTCCCCCGCCCACCCACACCGACTGGGTGGGGGAGACATGGCCGCAAGTCCGTGCCGAAGTCCGGACTTCGTGACATGTTGTCAGCTCTAAGCTGATGGGGGCTCATTTGTCAGCCTATATTGAGCTGATGTCAGTTCCGTCGCGAGTCTTGAAAAAGACTGCGGAAATTGAGAGGGTGGACGTTGTACCTAAGTGCTTCTGGTTGTTCAGCCTGCTGGAGATCTCCCCTTTTGAATCCTTTCGATGTTTTGATCTCGTTTCCCTTCACCACGTTTGACGGTCTTCTCCACGAGGAGAGAGCACGGGGTCACAAGGGTATCCAATCAGCTTCTGCGACTGGGATTTCGACTGGGAAGCTGTCACAAGCTCGATCTAGTTTCGGGACCCTTGAAAGAATCATGCTTTGCGTTTGAATGACCCCCTGGACGAGTTTATTTTCCTCTACAGGGGATTGTCCACTTCCATGTTTGTTGGAGGGTGCATGCGGATCCATAGGGAAACACAACTGCCACAAGTGTCACCACCACCCCGTAGCGCTACGATCTGCTAAGCAACCGCACAGCTTCCTTCCATTGCCGCCACTGCCCTGCCAAGGTTCCTGGGTGGCGCGCCGACCTTGGACTTGAGTGACTCTAAGAAACTCTACAACAACCTCTGGAGCCCTGGGTGCAAGTCACGGCACGGCACCAGTCCGGAAAACCAGTAGGCCACCATGAAAGCCGAAAGCTGAAGGTGCTGCTGTTCTGCTGGTGATTCACTCAAAGCGGCTCATCAACTACCCAACTGGAACATGCCCGGACCTTCCCAGGCATGTCCCGATCCGATCCATACGTGCTTGAGTAGGGTTGGGCAGTTCATTAGGTGACGCCTATCTCGTGGGTATCTATCTCATGAGTATTGACATGGTAGCACTAACCCCTCCAAAAAGGTCATCACTAGGCAGTCAGAAGAACTCAGAAGAGAATCACAAAGGTCGCCTTACTAGGATCCAGGATCCAGGACCTTTGCGATTTCCCCGATTGTCCAAGAGGTTTTGACGATGTTGGGGAAATCTTGGGGCGCACCAGGTCACCAGCGAATGCTTCCATCAAGAGTTGAAGCTTCAAAACAAACTTTTCACACCACTTAGAAAATCATTGAACATCCAACAGCACTCCACATCCATTCACCCAACATCTTCATGTTCCTCCATGTTTTCCTCTTCCCTTCCTTGCCCCCGGCAGCTTCTACCGCCCAGCAGCGCAACCGGACGCCGAGGATCCCCTTGGCCACCGTGGACCCAGCCACGGCGAAGCTGACGCCCAAGGCCTATGGCGAGCTGCACTTGATGACCGTGTGGAAGCCTTCGCAGGTGCCCGGATGGGGCGCGGGGCGGGGGTGTTTGGGCGCCGATGGGGTTGGTTGGGATGAGAGAGAAAGATCGTCAAGTGTGGCGGTTTGAGCTGGGGCGGTTTGAGCAGATGCGGGAGCAGTGTGGGAAGGGTTCTGAGATGGGAGCTTCATCGATGGGGAGTGGGGAGAACCAGGGGGGAGTGGATCGAACTAGGATTCTGAAAGAACTCTTGTCATGGACAGGTTTTAATGTGAAGCACCTTTGTTCTGCTGAGGAGACCGTGGCCTTGCGTCGCTTGCCCAAGACGGTTCGTGGTTGGCAGAGCTGGGAGTTGAAGCAAGCGCTGAAGGGCACCGCGATGCACGATCCCATCTACGATGTGCAGGCGAATGATGTGCACCCGCAAGACCGCCCAAGGGGGGCGCCTGTTTGAGGTGCTTCATGCACACCCCTGATCACCCAGCAGCACTCGTTAAGAGCCTCCTGGTACATGCATGATGCATGATACACGAGCCATGGCATTGGAACCGGGCTCTGCATGGGAAGTCATGAAGGGCAACATGGACAGGTGATGTGATGTGACATGGACAGAGCATGGACAGAGCATGACAGAGCTTGGTTAATGCTTGCCTTTTCTTCCGTCAGGTTTCTTGCGTCAGGTTTCTTGCCTCAAAACGATGGGCACCTCAGTCACCTCAGTCAACTGCACCACAAACAACGCCACGGTCACCTAGTGTCGGTGGCACCGGGACCGCGACGCGATGGTCGGTACACAGGCGGTGAAGCGCGGCTATGATCCCAACTTGTATGAACACCAGGGCGATCATCAAGAGGCCATGAATGAAGCCAAGCTCAGCTGCTGGGATGAATGAGTTGGCATGGCAGGCCCTGTACTGCAATGGAATTGTTTTATTTTTTTCGTAACACTATTATGCCTGATTCGAAGTCCAGTTGCATATATGTTGGCACCAACGCCAACGACGAAGTAGAGGAAACTCCTTTTTGGGTCACCATTTTTGTACATTTGAGACTCCCAGGGCTTCAATCAGCACCTTTGTGCAGCTAAGGGCCTGCTTGTTAAGGTTGCCACTGTTTTGTGGGAACACGGGTTGGCAGGGGCTGTCACCGCTGCCATCACTCTGGTCGATGACATTCTTCACGCTCACCACGTACCTTTCATGGAGGATACCATTCTGTTGGTTGTTCTGTGACCAAACTCAAAGTTGTTCAGCGTGATTTGGCCTCAATAATGAGCAAATGAATGCAACTGCAACGAAGAACAATGCACAACAGGATGTGTTTATTTTTTCGGTCCAGAATCTATGTGGCCATGTTGATAGAATTTTGTTGGTGCCAGCCTCTCAGAATCTCAGCAGAATGTCCATTTATTGGGCACCCCCATCTGCCCCTCTTCATATCTTAATCCGCCCCATCATCCCCTGCTACCGAGGCCATATGCAGAAGATGTTGGAGAGCATCCCCTACCTGGACTGCTGTGAGCGGCAGCAACGTACCTCTTTCAAAGGGATGCGGAGATTGTGAACGATATGAGGGAGAATATCATATATTTATTAATCATAGTTTTGAGTGAGTCCGAAGATTCATAATGTTAATCATAGTGTTTTGTGTTAGTGAGTGAAGATTCACCCTATTTGTTTTGGACTTTTGTTTCTTCTCGTGCTTGTTGAAACAAGGTGTCGCTTGGCGCGACTTCCGCCTGAAGCTGGAATCGATGAAGCTTGGACCGTCCATCCGGTTCCGCGCCGGAGTCGGATGGAGTGGGACGTCGGAGGTACTTCGTCTGCCTTACGGACGCGACCCTGGACCTTCCTCTGGAGAGGTCTGGGGTCGAACCAATCCGGCTTTGAAGGGATAGGTCGGGCCGTGAACGAAGCGTCTGGGTAGGGTGAAGGATAGATGCAGAAAAAAACGGCTTCAGTGTCTTATAGGTGTGAAACAGTTCGGGCGAAGCGAGAAAGCTTGGGGTGCTGGAGGCCATGCAATATCAGGCAATCATGAGTTGCTGTGATGTTTTTCTTGGGGATCAGATCCGGGTGAGCGGACGCTGTTTGCTGGCTTCATGGGAGTCCTCGCAGCACATGCTGCACACAGGTGGAGAAAAGCAGCAGTTTGCGTTGCAGACCCCCTTATGATGTTGCATCTTCTCATGGGGGTGTGGCTGGAGGTCTCAATATATTGTAGCACGCACTCTAAGCCATCCTGGAGTATCGTAGATAGAATATGAACTATAATCCAGAAACCGTTTCCTAATTGGTTTCATTATTGGATTTCCCCATCTTCCCCTACTCCAAGATGACTACCAGCAGTTCCTGGGTGCTACTGTATCCAGTTGACAGGAGACGCCCCCCCCCCCGGTGGCCTTGTGATTGACACACTCGCCATCCCACGGCCCCGAACGGACGGTGGGTTCGCCACGCCTGACATGGAACTCCTGAATGCCTTACCGTAGTGTTTCCTTTTGACCTAGACGCGACCCTTGTGGAGGGATCGGAGCCGAAGCCAAGCGGAATCGGGGTCCTGGGTCGAACCAAGCGGAGTCGGGCTGTGTGCATGAGGGTCCAGTCATACCCTTTGAGGATATGGCTGGAGCCCTAGGGTTTGGCTCCTACCAGCTGCTTCCGTTCGGGGTTACCTGGCTAGACAACCCTACACTGCTTATAGGTCACCAGACAAAACACCCAGACAGGAAGCGCTAGGTAGGTGAACATACGTAGTGTTTCACATAGGGTTTAGGGTTTAGGGTTTGGCACGCTCCTGGAGCCCTAGGGTTTGGCTCCTAGGGTTTGGATCTATTTCAACTCCTCCTTTCGCCCAGGAGCCCCGTCGATGCGGACGAGCAACCGCAGAGACCCTCCTTGAGCCTGCTGCGGAGCGGCTGGTCACATGGGGAGACGCCCAATACTCGGATGTTGTGGGAGCCTCTTGGATTTTAAGGTCGGGATGACCACCATGTTGGAATGGATGAGGATGGAGGATGGATGATTTGATAGTTTTTAGATGATGGATGATGGATGGATGATTTTGATATGATATTGTACTATATTCTATACCTGGACCCTCCAAGGGGCGTCCAATGGACTACCCCACACTACCTATAGGCTTCCATTGGGCACCCTTGGAGGGTCCTGGCATATTCTATGTTCCCAAAACCACTGGATGGGGGGGCGGGGGGGGTGTCACCTTTTGGGATGGATCCTTTTTGGCTGCCCGGACGTGACCCTGGACACTCAAATCCCGTTTTGAGGGACGAAGGGCTGTTTGGAGAGTCTTCCGTGCCACCTCCGCCTCAGGTTGGATGAGCTGATGCGTCGTGGGGTGCCTGCGCATAATCGCGGGGAGATTTGGTTTGAGATCACTGGTGCTCAGGAGAGGGGGAGTGAACGAGGCCGAAAAGCAGCGTTTCTTAAAAAAGACTTTTATAAAGATACATGAGCCGGGCCCCTTGGGTTCCTAACTCGATTGGCAGAGGAAGTTCCACTGTTCTCCGGTGCTCTCGAAAGGAAGCATCTGAATGCCAGAGCAGCAGGGCATACACCTGCGTCGGATGCATATGGGCTGCTAAAGTTTCTCCAACAATTTACAAGAATGATGCCATTTGCAGGTTTGGATTAACAACCACTAGTACTGGACACCCAGAACCACCTATCATGAGATGATGAGTTACATAAAACAGACGTTTGATGGTCAAGACCGGCCAATCGCTGGAGTTGGAGCATCTTGGTGGAGTTGGATTGGACCGGGCCATCCGGGCTATCCGAACTTCATCGGCACCACACCGACGAAGGTTCGAACGTTTCCTGTGACGACTTTCAGCTGCCGAGAGTTGGAAGAAGAACGCATCTGAAAGGTGATCTGTGACTGTCATTCACCACAATTCCTGACAATTCCGACCAGGGTCCAGGACCATCCTGGAGCATCCGAATCGGATGTCCTTTGGCCCCCAAAAAGCATTTCCGTGGAAGTACTTTCAGCATCTTTCACCTTGAAGACCATCCTCAGGAGGTATATACCTGGACCCGGGTGGGAGATGGCTTTGAACATGTTTGGGCCTTGAACTTCTCTCAAGTCTGACTCTATGGGGGGTCGAAGGGCTTGGATTTTGCCCGGATTGTCTTGGAGTGTAGCGAACAAAGGATGGAACCATGAAACCCTAGGGATCCACTGCCACCTTCTCAGAAGGTACGACTGGGCCCTCCTGGCGCCTACATAAGTAGTCTCCAATCACCGTACCTGAGAAGGTACGACTGGATCCCTAGGGGAAGGAAACATCATTCCATGTGGACATCACCTTCCCAGAAGGCATAAACAGTGTCGAACACATCACCGTTTTGGAGAAGGTACGACTGGATCCCTAGGGCTTGCTATTCGGAAGGTCCCACCCGGATCCATCTACCCGACTCCATCCACGCACCGTGAACCGAACCGAACCGTGAAGCCGGTGACGCCGGTGACAGCGGTCAGTCGGACCTGCAACCGCGATGTTTCGGTTCCTTGTTTTGGGAGCCTAGAGCTCCCTAATAACCATCGGGGTGCCAATGGCGCCCTTAAAGGGATGACAGAGAATCCGAAGACCAAACCGGTGGTTATACCATGCTATACCCAAGGTATGTATTCAATTGATTTCAATTAATACCTACTTGGCACTCACACCTACCAGAACCGTTTCATGGCAGGAGCTCCAGCGGAAGTGGCTGGAACGCTGGGTCGCTGGGCTGCGTCAATGAAACCAACGAATCCCGCTACCGCCGCGGGGGGGGATGAGGGATGGGAATGGACCTGGCGCAAGCATGGGAGATGGGGCTGGTAGTCATGGTAGTCATGGTCACTATCAGTCCTTTCCACATCCTTTGTGTAATGTTCGTGGTTCAGGTTCAACCATTAAGACATGCATTTATTCGATCTGCGGTTGCGGCTATGCCTCCTATAAGCCAGTGTTTAATCATTCATCTCCATCCACAGATTTATTCTATCGGGATCCAAGTACCTTCTCAGAAGGTGCTTGGAGACACTATTATGTAGGTGCACAGAACCTGAGAAGTGTAACGACCAGGATTGCAACTGGATCCCTAGGGATTGCTTTCTCTTTGGGCGGGGTACCCTTCTTGCTCTTAAGCACGGCCGGCCCTGAAGGCCGAGAAGCTCTCGAGCGAGGCAGATCCCTCCGTGGCCTTCTACCGCAGGCCGGACGCGGGGGGGGGTTGGTTCGGCCTGAGAAGGGGGGGACATGAGTTGAAAGTGCAGGTAGTGCATGGAAGAGGTACCCTCCCGGCACCTATTATGTAAGAGTCCAGCCAACCCATCCACATGCACCCTGGAAGAGGTCCACATGGAACCTGGAAGAGGATAGTCTTCGAGTCTTCCAAAGGTCCATCTTTAGGTTCCATGTGGGACTCTCTTGGTGGGTGTAGTGCAGACTGTCAGAGGCTGTCAGGTACATGCCGTTAGGACCCAGGCTGTCGCCTGGTTGAACGCCAAAAGGCCATATGTGACCTTGAGCCCGAACCCCGGACCCCGGGGTTTCCAAGCAATGCCTGCGAATTCCACGTCTTCGGTCTGACAGGCTACAAGTCTAGTCTGACCCAGGTCCAAACCAGGTCGTTTGCTTTGGAATAGTGCTTTTGTATGACCAACTCCAGTAAAATGAGGTCATTGACCGGTTCGATATGTCTCCTCTCGGCTGGTTTGTCGTCCAAAAGAATGCCTTGTGAGTTCGAACTTCGGAAGAAGTGTATTGGATTTTCCCCATGTGACACAAGTGAATTCCTACCTGGACCTTCAAGGGGTGTCCAATGGAGGTCCCTTAGTGTTGTAGGGGCTTCCATTGATGACCCCTTTGAAGGTGCTGGTAATCATTGGCATTCTTTATTATACATGAATTCCGCTGGGCTTGATCACCCGGCCGTGGCTGGGGCGCGCCCACCACGCCTGCGTGGCACCAGCCCTCTTCGGTGCTCTCGTCAAGCGCTCGTCTTGGGCCGGTCTTCCTTTTCACGGACGGTCCGCCTTCGTCCGAGGCTGGTGGAAGATGGCAAGCCCTACCGGAATGATGCCATGTGGCAGTTGCACGAGGACTTGGTGGCCGCCGCCTCCTGGGAGAGGCGAGGGTCCGAAGCGAAACCCGTGCGTGAACAAAAACCGCTCGTGGAGGGGGAGGACCTGGGTTTTCAGGAGAAGTATGGAACAGGGGTCCGAACCAAACCATGAAAAAAGACAGATTTTCGCATACAAAAACAAAACCATGTTTTCGCCTCGGGAAACAAGGTTTTTGATGGTTTCCCCTGGGAACAAGTGGATCACTCAAACCTTTTTGGTGACCTTCGGTGACACCCTGTGACACCATATTCAACATGCGGTACGGTGGTACGGTGGTATATACTGTATTCCGTACAATGGAGTGGCTTGTTCTAATAAGGCGGGTGCCGCAGGAGCGTCACGGGGATGTGTCTTCACCCCGGAGTCCGGGAGACTATAAAGGAATTATCAAAAAAGTTAGTGTTTTCATGTTCCTTGGTGTTTTGGGATGTGAAGTGGTCTGGGTCTATTTGTGGATGCTGTGTTTGCTGGTTTGTTGGATATAGAAGATTGGGTTTCTTTGCTGGGCGAAGTGCAGATATCATGGTGCCAGTCATGGTGCCATTCAAAGGCTCAAACGTTTTGTTTCCATCAAGTGGCTTGCTTGATTTCTCTTGGCACCATGAAGCGTCCGGCCTGCCAACGACGACCAGCTGCCTCAAAGCGGCCGGCCACCAGGAGCCAATGGGAAGGGAGGGAAAGAGACATTGTGGAGAGAAAGATTCACGTTTGCAACGATTGCAATGCCGCTTTATGGTTCAGGAACATTCCTGTTTAAATCTGAGGCAAATGTGCCTGTAGACACAAAGGACAAAATACATGCCTGCAGAATGACTTTTTCCAGGCTTGTGTGCACTCCATAGTTTTTCATTCACAAATTTTACTCAGCATCCCTGGTCTCCTGTTTTTTCCTACTGTGTGCAATGCCGGCCCGCTCGAACTTGAACGACTTGCTTTTGCAGCAGTGCCTTTGTGGAAGACGTTCATGCTTCACCCAGTTTCAAGAGAGTGCTGAACATGTTCTGGCTGAGAGAGCCAGGTTTCATGAAATGAAAGAATCACTCAAGGATCCTTGGCTTCCTCTACAGCAAGCTATTGTTTGCTTCTGGCTCCTGTCTCATTATGTTGTGTAGCATCAGGTGTTCAACTTGCGAGCAAAAAATAGTAATCACAGGAACCGGATGAGCGTTAAGGTTTGTACCATGTCCTCACTATATTCTTCAAATGTTCCTATCGAACACATCTGTTTCAGTTTTCTTGTTCTCAGAAGTTGGCCAACACAAGAAGTTGGAGCTTAGGAAAATGCTATCAGATCGTGGTACAACATTCCTGTACCAGAGTTTCCAGAGGGGCCTGATGTGGCAGCAAATCAGCTGCTCGTTGAAAGCGATGAGGAAACGATTCCTCAAGAGGGAGATGTGCTTTTTTCCACTGATGAATCTGGTGGAGATGCAGAAGAGCCCGAGGGTCACATGCTGTTGCAGTCTTCTGAGGATGATGCCGAGCAAGCTCAGCCTGCACCCAAGCGTAGGAGGTATACTGACAGGAAAGCATCATCAACTCTGCAGTTCCTTGGCCGATCGGTGTGCAGCAGGGCACATCAAAAGCTGTACGCCATTGGATCCGCAGCTTTGCAGAACCTCCGTCAGGGCCTGCCTGCTTACACAATGCATGATCAACGGCTGCCAGAACCAAAGCATGAGTTGTTGAAGGTCTCTTTGCGCAGAAAGTCTGACAATGCAAAGTGGCCGCATGTGCTCAAGTTCTTTTGGTTGCTTTACATCAGTGCAGCGGAGGTATTACCAACAAAATTGGTGATGCCCAATTCGTGGCACATGGAAGCTATGGCGAAAGATTCTGATTTCCAAGAACGATATTGTTCTGCTTTTTTGCAGAACCTGGAGCGGAATTTTCAGTTGAGCCATCCAGGTCAAATCGGCCCAGGTACGTTCGCAGGACCGAGGAGATATTTAGAACATTCCAAGCCGATTGATTTGTATATACAATACTCTGCATTTTCAGATGCTGATGGCCAAGAAGCAGCATCATTTGCAACGTTCATGAGAATATTCAACCAGATATTTTCCACACACCTGAAGTTTAGGGACAAAGCAGAGTTTGGGCAGTGTGAAGTGTGCTACCGCATGAAAACAAAACTCAGAAAAGCAAGCACCCGATCAGAAAAGGATCATTGGACGAAAGCCTACAGTTCCCATTTGTTGAGCCAATGGCGGGACCGCCAGTTTTACTGGCGGATGCGGGAGCTTAGCAGGCAATATTTTGCGCAGTTGCTTTTGACTGGAGCAACAAAAATGAAATCTCTGGAGCTGTCATCCAGCGTCTTGTGTGCCATTCAGGATGGCATGGACCAGTCGAAACTGCGTGTACCCAAGTGGGGATATGTGAGACTTCCAAAGACCCTGGAGGCACTCTATCGCCCAGCGCTTCATTTGAGCGCCAGCTGGTTCCACGGAGCACACTTAGCCCTGAGCATTACCGATGAGAATGTCAAGAAGAATTCAGAGAGCCAAATAGAGCAGCTTGCGAGATCTCTATCCAATTTGCTTGCTTCAACCTCCCAGCTGCCGCTATATTTTCACTGTCAGAGTGATAACTGCTTTCGCGAAGCGAAGAACCAGTTCGTGGCAGCGTTTATGTTGATGCTAGTGGCATGTAAAGTTTTTAGATCAACAAGCCAAGGATTTTTGCGTACTTCTCATTCCCATGAAGACGTGGACCAAATTTTTGGGCAGATTGCTCGAATTCTTCAAGGAAAGGCCATCGCCACAGCCAATGACATGGTGGACTTCTTGAACAAAGCCACGAAGAGAAGTGGTACTTCATGCAGCTCAGATTCTACATTGCGTGGATCAAGCTGCGAGGCCTACAAACTTGACGAGGTGACAAGCTGGAAGACCTTTGTTGCTCAAACCGGTGTTGTGCTCAAGGGAATGCGGCGAGTGCATTTTCTTCGTTATTGCCAAAGAAGGGACATGGGGTCTGACATTTTGGATAACGTGGCAGAAATAGAGGAACTTCGAGGTGTCCCGCCAGCAGATCGCAATGGAGAAGACATATTCTTAGTCACAAAACAGTGGCTAGCCGACACTGAAATTGCAAGAGTGATCTGCGTCATGTCCGCTTCAACAGCCCAACAAATTCGTGTTGGGTGCAGTAGTCCGGCTGGCTTGGCTGAGCGAAGGAGGATTTCTGATGGTGTGAGATCAAATATCAACAGATACGCCACTCGGAGTTTGAACAAGGGCACTCTGTCCAAGGACTCCGGACAGTACCTATTGAAGTGGGTCAACGGCACATTGCCGTGCTTTCCAAAGCCAGAGGCATACCCTATCCTGAGTTACAGGTACATTCGAGAACTGCAAGCAGAAGCCAGACATCCAGGCACATGGATGACACCTGCCCGTCGCAGGAATTTTGATGTGACAATTGGTCCAGCAGATGGTAATTTGACGTCGGATTCTGATGAAGATGAGGTGGACTTGCCACTAGCCTTAAGGGACCTTTAGGCTTAGCCTACTGATTGCCACAAGGTTTGAGAAAAGATGCTACATGCATTTTCAGAGTGCTCGTCCGACAGATTCTCCAAAGCGTTGATGTGCACCACAGCTCAGAGGCTATTCACTGGTTCTGTCTCTGTCACTAGGGGAAGATGTTTCTCTAATTTTAAGAGGGGTTGCAAAAGACATTAGGACGCTGTGCGACTTTTAGGAAACATGCCAGTGTTTTGTCTTTCTATTCAAGTTGTTTTGTTTGCTCCACAGGAGTGCAGCTGCTGATGATGGCATCCCAAAGGTCGAGGATGGAGACATTTTCTTCAGTTCGGATGAGGAGCCCATTGCAGGCCTGCCAGTAGCTTCATGTATTTTCCTTCATGGTTTACACTAAGCTCAGTTGGGTCACAAGGATTGCCTTGCTGCCACATTTAAACCGAATTCTATTGTTGACCATAAATTCTCACGGATCACCACAAATACCAGCTCTATGTAGTTGTTTCTCCATGGCAAACACAGGTACAACTGGAGAATGTGGGGAAGAAGGAGAAGTACTTTTAGCTTCGGACGCCGAGGTTGAGGACTCATCAAGGGGTTCTAAGCTGCCTTCTTTGCCTTTCACATCGCCAAGCGTTTCTTGGTTAATTTTTTCTCTAACCTACAGCTTCTTCTGGAGCATGCGCATGTAAAGCTACTTCTCACTCACATGTACTGCTGTAGAGTTTTGAAGGCCACTTGAGCAGATGTATGTCTTCTGAGCATTTACCCTGTGTTGTGTCTGAGATTCGTGCTTTCATCTACAACTTCCTCAAGGAAGAACGCTTTGCAAATCTTCGGGGTCAGCTAGCTGCAACTTGTCGGGGCATTGACCGGCTGCGTATTGGTAGCATCTGTTCTGGGTGGGGTGTCTTGGAAATGGTCATGGAGACCTTCCGACCAGCTTGGAACCAAGAGTGCGTTCTAGAAGACAACTTGCTGCTAGAGGTGCGGTTTGTGATCCAAACACATGTCTGTGGACGACATAAAGCCTCAAAGAACCAAAACCAAACAATACGACACATACCAATTGTGAACGGTGTAGAAACAGCAAAAACTAGCAGCAACACTCAATGAACCATATTCTTGCTAGAACTCATACCTGCAGGTGGAGTTGAGCTTCGTTGTGGAGAAGGATCGGAGAAAGCAAGACTACCTGCGAAGTCGATTTCCACATGCTAAAGTGTTTTTCAAGGACATGAATGACATGGGACATGCGAAGGCTTCCACTTTTGATGGTAGCTTCCACAAAGTGCCCAAGGTGAGATTTCTCGCAATGCAATGTGTGTGTGTGTGTGTGTGACATCTTTAAAAAAGATCGTCTTGCAAGATTTGGTCTTTGGGTGAACATGGTTGAATTGTGTGTTGCTCCCTTTTCCTAGATCTCGGCACTATGCTGATCCCTTGCAGGTGGACCTTCTTTGCAGCGGCTTTCCATGCGTTTCGGTGAGCCCATTGACTACAACACCGGGATCGGTGTTGGACAAATCATGTCAGTCTGGTGCGGGGTTTGATTCAGTCTTCAACTATGCAGCCAAGCACAAACCCTCCTTACTCTTACTTGAGAATGTCTCCAGCTTGTTCCACAAAAGAGCAGTGGAAGGGGGGGAGAAATCGGGGCAACTTTGATGTGCATAGTCATAGTCTTTTCTCTGTGTTCATGTTGTTTCAATCTGTTGGATGTTTCCCCTACCACGACATTGTGGGTTGACATGTTGAACTTAGGTATGAACATCTGAAGGAACGCTTGGATCGCCTTGGTTACATTGTGACTGCAAGCGAGTGTAACACTGCGGAGTTCGGGCTTCCCCAACAACGTGCTAGAGCATGGGTCCTCTGTGTTTTGAAGGATGAGTCACTGCCAAGTGTGTCTAGTGACATGTTGACTGACTTGGAGTTGTTCAAGTGTGAACGCTTGTCGCTTGAGAAGTGCATCTCGACTGTTGCAAAGCAGTCATCAGGAACTGAACAGAAACAGACTAGGGCTCATAGATCAACAGCGGTGCCCAAGTGGCACGATGCTTTCAAGGAGGAAAGCGAACGGATTGGCAAGGCCAGGAGGGTCTTGGGGATCTTTTATATATTACAGGGCGGTAGAAAATATGATTCTTTTCTCTCAGAGAGGTCTTAGTCTTAGGGATCTCTACTATGTATAGTATAATAACATTATATAATATATATAATATATACTGTAATATATATTTATATCTGGAAGCAGGATTTCGTATTCTAAGATCTTTTCAGTCAGTGTTCTTTGTTTTTCCCAATCTCCAAGAACAACCCAAACTCTGTTAACAACCCTTTGATCTCATTCTTGAGGCTTTGTGTTCGCTTTAATCTTGAACATCCTGCACTCCCCAACATACAATAAAACACACACACAAATACGGAAACAGCTGCAGGCAAAGGTGGATGCCAGGATTCGACAACTCCGACCAATGGCTCAAGGTTGCACTGAACGGGAGATTGCAATCTTGGCATGTGCTTGTGAAGAGATGATGGAGATGGGGGTGAACCCGGTGGAAGAACTCCTGGTGATTCAGGTCGTCCCTTAACTTCCTAGCTATTGTTGTTTCTATTAACACAGTGTTGAATCATATGCTCATCGGCTCTTGTTGTCTGGCAAAACGTTGCAAAACATGTCTTCAATAATATGTAGTACTTAGTACACTAATTGAAACACTGTACAATATCAACAGCCAAAGAAGCACAACACATGTACCTTTACCCTGTTTGTTTTGGGGCCTACTGAGGACCAGAACTTTGGGAGACAGAATTTTAGCAGGAAGAACATCAAGGGCTTGCCAACCACGACATGCTTGATTCCTGGTGGGAAATACATATGCACTGGGCCGGCTAATTTCCGACAACTCACCGACCAGGAGCAATGGGGGAACCCCTTGGTTTGTTGCTTTGTGTTGTGATTTTTCGGACAGGGTAGTTGTGGTACATTCCATCAGCCTTTGGGCTTTGTCTTTTTTCTTTCCCTCATGCATCTTCCAGGAGAGAGCCAAGCTACAAGGAGTGGGAAGTGATGATTGGGAGCGCTACAAAATGAGTGAGGTTCCATCGAATTTAATGCGGAGCTTTGTTGGCAATGCGTAGGAAACTTAGCAGCGTAAGGGCATGTTAAACAGTGATGCTCTTAAACAGCTAGAGCATGAGGACAAGCAACAATTATTGTTGATTCATTTTGGACTGGAGTCAGGACGATGAGAAAACCGTTAAAGAAAGTATAGCTTTTGTTGGCCTCCCCACCTCCCAGGTTTTCGGTGCCAGTCCACTTCGCTGCTCTAGTGACTTTGCTAGCGCACTGGCGCCCACCGTGTCCCTGGCAGATGCGTTGAAGGTCTCACATACATTCATAATGGAAAATTCGGCATTGCATTTTGCAAGTGATTGCACGGAGAAACAACATCTCCAGGCCTCCAGGAAATAATGATGGAAGAATTCCGGGAATTTAGTTGGTTTGTTGTCATTGCCTTGAGTGTTTTGCCATACAGCCAGGAGGATCCAAATTTGCTTAGTTGGATTTCGCATTCCCAGCCTGTGCCAATAGCAGGCGGTGTCCAGGGTTTTGGATTGCCACCCGTTGGACTGGGAAAAAAGAAAACAACCTGGTGTTTGCAAAGTGATCTCAAAAGACTTGAGTCAAGAGATTCGAAGGCAAACCACTTGGATTTCATTCAGTGTCCTTCCCGGATTTCGTTTGTTTTGCTGTCTTGCAACCTTTTGCTTCGCAGCGGAGCAAACCTTTGCCGTGTGACTTAGACTCGTTTGTGCCAGTCATGGTTGCCAAACGCAGACGCATCACTTCAAACAACAAAGAGGTCGTCATGGCTCCTACTACCATGACGGATGTGTCACCTGTTCGAGTGGCGCTGCGGGATTGGATCAATGACTTGCACTCCATGCGCCATTGTCTCCCTGAAGATCAGAAACGGGCCTGGCCTGTCGAATGTGGAGGGTCTTTCCTGGAGGTAGTTCAGCGCTGCTTCAGGCGACCTGACAGGCTCCTAGCAGATAGCTTGGCTTTTTGCAAGGCTTTGGGAATCATTGCCAGAGATGCGACCACGGAGGACTTTCAGAAGAAGTTTCTTGCGATGAAGGCCGGGCTTTGTTTTCCAGTGCCCCCAACACCTAATGTTTCCAAAAAGCTGTTGGAACTTGCCATGCATTTTTTGGATTGAGGTCTTATCCCCCGGCACCTGCCAGGACTACCCGCCTCAACCTGGAACCTTCACTACCACGGCCATTTTGAACTGGAGCTTTGAAGATACTTCTTTCTGGCGCCCTCCAGACCTTCCAACTGTCATGGACATCTCAAAGTCCATTGCACTGGTGGGGTGGAGAGAGGCCAGCCATCATGGGGAAGGGTTTTAAGTTTACAAGACATCGTGAGGGGAATGCCTCGCCGCTTTGTGGGTCTGTCTCAGGAAGGACAAGTGGAGAGCTGTTCTAGGAATAGCTCTCCGCCCCATTGATGTGGCTACTACTAAGAGGAGAGCTCAGTGGTACTGCCTGTCACAGACTGGGGTATGTCCTGGATAGCTGGTAAAGGAAAGTAAACTAAGGGGCGGAGAGCTATTCTAGGAACAGCTCGCCGCTCTCAGAGATCCAGTGAGGAATCAAAAGCGGAGAGGTATTTGCCAAACAGGCAAGTGAAAGGGAAATCTTGGCTTGGGAACAAGAGTAAACAAGATGTGGGTGGAGATCCTGGGAGTTCTAAAAGTAAAGGAAACAAGATGTGGGTGGAGAGCTCTTCTAGGAATACCTCGCCGGCCTGGGAATCCGGAATACCTCACCGACTCTAAAACAAGACATGGGTGGAGAGCTCTTCTAGGAATGCCTCGCCGCCCCTTGAACGGGAATACCTCGCCGCCCTTAGAATGACCGGAATACCTCGCCGCCCCTTGAACGGGAATACC